GGGGACCCACTCACAGGTCTTACTGTCCTGTTTCCCTAGTTTCCAGCACCCCACACACACACTGTGTCTGCACTCTGGTGCGGATGGCTAGGGCTGGCTATTTAGCAGTCCTGGGCTCCCTCTCCCTCCCTGCTCCAAATCCTTCCTCCCGCCAGGAGCTGGGGTGTGGGGTGCTCGGGTCCTGCCAGGCCGGGGCTTGTATCTTACCCCCTTGGCCAGGCCCTGGGTTCTTGTGGGTGTTGATGTAGTCTGGCTGTTATCCTGTGTCTTCTGGTCTCTCTTTCAGAGATAGTTGTATTTGTTGTATTTTCAAAAATATATATGCTTCAGGGAGAAGATTCCCACTGTCCTACTCACGCTGCCATCTTGGCTCCGCCTTTTTGTCTGGTGGTTAATTTTAAAGATTATTGCCTTTTCCTGTCTTTGAGAGTTGTGGGCATATTTTTGGTTGGTTTTCAGGGTTTTTTTGTTGTTATTGTTGTTAATATGGTTGTTTGGAAGGAGGGTGGCTGGTTCTGGGACCCACCAGTTCTGAGATTACTCTTCAGATAGCTGTGTCAGCAGGGATAGAAACCTTAACTAGTTGCTTAGCAGGTTGGGAGGGGGGCAAGAGTTCAATCCATGGGACTTTCCTAGGCAAAAGCCTGACATGGCTTTGCTTTATTATTAGACCCCTAATGGTTCCATTAATCATATAGATTTCTCAGGAGCCCAGTACTTAATTATGTCTCTGTTGGGTACAGTGAGATACATAAAGGTAGAGTAAGGCCAGAGATATCACAAGTTTTACCATCTGTCACATGGAAATTTCAGAGAACAATAAATACTGGAACAGAATCCAAGAGGTGATAGTAGCTAAGAGAACATCTGGTTGAATCTTATATCAAATGTAGGATCACTGACTGCTTCTCCTCTGATAGATGGCCCTCTAGACTTTGCTGGAACTCATGTTTTTGTAAAGCTCAAAGCATTTAAATATCTTTTACCTTGAGCCAAACTATAATTTCTCTTCTCTCTGCATGGTCTTCCTTGGTAAGGCTTCTAATTCACATGATTCCCAATCTTAGCTTCATTTAGATGGCTACCACAACTATGCCTATAGTCCTTATCTCTGTCCTGGTCTACAATTCTGGTAAATGACTGAGCAGGTTGGAAATCTGCTGGGTTAAAACCGATAAGAGATGGTAAAACATGTAATCCTATAGAGTCTTGCATGCAAATGGAAAGTAAGCATTGTATGGGATGAAGATAGCTGATTTTGCTCAAGTGAGAGAGAGTTGAGGCTTTTAATCCTAAGTGTACTGTGAATCTATAGTAAGGCACAGCAAGTCTGTGCTGCATGAATAGCATACATCAATGCCAGAGACATTTGACAATGTGCTCCTAAGTAAGAGTTTACTAGGGCACATCTGGGCCTCTAGAGCAACAACAGCCAGAGTGTGAACAGGCAGGGGATGATTCGAGAGGCCATGGGCCACAGTGGGCCACAACGGGAAGCTGGGAAAACAGGGCTAGAACCTAGGGAAGAGAAGCTTTGGAATGGTACAAGAGCTGTCTTCAAACAGGAGGAGGATTTATGGGAAAGAGAATACTTAGTTTGTTTTCTGCCTCACAGCGCAGAACTAGAATAGTTTTAAGAGATAACAAAAGGTTGTTCATTGGTTTTATTGACTAGGAAGCATCTTTTTCTGAGATCTGTAAAAAAATCTAAATGACCTTTTCTTTACACTGGAAAAACTCTGTTTCTGTTTCTATCTATGCAATATGGAACCAGATGCTGATTTCTAGCTAGGATACAAGTGATGCAACTGTTGAATTCATTTGATGAAGAATAATTGAGCAACAGGCCTCCAGAGAAATCTGCCAAAGAGAGGGGACCTCTCCAAACATTACAGCCAAAAAGCCAACCAGCTTCTAGTTATCAGAAACCAACTTCACACCTCAGATACAAGAGCTTGTTACCGTGGGGAACAATGGGAAGAACCTAAAATTTAGAGGAGATAGAATCAGCTTAAAGTCTGATTATGCCATTTACTAATTCTGTGACCTTAAGAAAGTTCTTAGCTTTTCACAGTTTTGGTTTACCTATAAGTGGAATGATTAAGTGCTAGCTCACTGGGTCATTGAGAGGGTAAAATAACAATGATAAAGCCTATGGCATATAACTAGGTTCTTATTAAAACTCTTCCTCACCCCCTGAAGCAAGTTACCAAAGGCACATTTCAAACAGACATTTTATAATTTAAGCGCTTTTTTTTCAGGGCTCCCTTCTGAACTCACACCAGCTACTGAGGAAGAAGAGTCAAAAAGTGGCTTGGATGTGATGCCCAATATTTCTGATGTGCTGCTGCGAAAACTGCGGGTTCACAAGTCTCTCCCTGGAAGGTAAAATCAGGCCATAGGTTACAGATTGAATGTCCCCTGTGTTAGATGTTAGATGGGACAGCCCTGATTTTCAATCCCAGAAGGATCAAAGTCACATGGTCCAGACAGAGAGCTAATGCATCCAAAACAAAAAGAATGGTAAAGGCCCAGATGAGGTGGTTCCAAGTGAAAAAGCAGGTGGGGTTCATAGATGGCCACAAGGGTCACCAGAGGCTCATGACAGCACAGGGTAGTGGGCATTGGACCAGGCAATATGGTTTCAATCCCAGATACACCATGTCCCTATAACTGGGAAATTCTAGATCTGATATCTACTCCAACCACCAGACCAACCTCCCTACTCCTGGCCTCAGCAGAGACTGTTTCCAGCTTGGGCCTTTCGTTAGGCCAAGATCTCTCTAGCCTTGGTTTGGAGTATGGGATAGATGGACAAATGGTCATGTAAGATGTCATCCAACAGAAGGAAGCCAGAGCTTCAAGAGTCCTTTCCTGAACAGAAATATGGAAAGATTACACTTCTTTTTTAATATAAAGAAGGAATTGGTTTCATGTTCTATGTGGACTATGTGAACTGGGATCGGAACATATCAAGAAATAGCTTATAAGGTCAGCAAGTTGAATGGATTCAGTAGAAACACCAGATCTGGGACTCGAATTAGGGATGTGGTCAATGGTTGATTAACAAGAATGCAAAGAGAGGTCACTGGATGAGGTAGCCCAGAGTTAAACACTAACAGGAGCAATAAACTGTCCTTTAATCAATAAATATTCATTGAATGCCTATTATGTACTATACAATAGAATGGAAAACAAACAGACATAGTCTCTTTTCTCATGGCACTTATATTCTAGGTGGGGAATCAAATAATATCAAGTAACCAAATGAATGATTTTGAATAACAAAGCTTCTAGGAAGACCATGAAATAGATAGATATAGAGAATGACATGGGAATGGAACACTGGGTAGGGGGTTAAGGAAGGCCTCTATGATAAAATAGTAATTAATTAGAGATATGCAAATGACAAAAGAAGCTATCTATGCAAAGATTTTGGTGAAGAGATATCCAGACAAATAGCACAGTAATTTCAGTAAGTGGTGCTGGGGTGATCGGATAGCCACATGCAGAAGAGTAAACTGGAACCCTATATTCCACAACACACAAAAATTAACTCAAAATGGATGCTAGGTCTAACTATAAGAACTAATGCTATAAAACTGTTAGAAGAAAACAGGAGCAAACCTTCAGGACCTTGGGTTAGTTCATGTTTCTTAGCTATGACACCAAAAGCACAAGCAGCAAGAGAATAAACAGATGAATGTATTTCATCAAAATTAAAAACTTCTGTGATGCAAAAGTACTATCAAGAAAGTGAAAAGACAACCCACAGAATGGTAGAAAATATTTGCAAATCATATATCTGATAAGGTACTTGTTCTCAGAATACATAAAGAACTCATAACTTAATAATAAAAAGACAACTGATTTTTTTTGATGGGTGAAGGATTTAAGTAGACATTTCTTCAATGAATATATATGAGGGGTCAATAGACACAAGATAAGGTGCTCAATGTTATTAGTCATTAGCAAAATGCAAATAAAAATGATAAAGAGATACGATTTCACATAACAATAACAAGTGTTGGTGAGAATGTGGAGGAATTAGAATCCTCAGTAAAATGGTGCAGCCACTTTGGAATAACAGTTTGGCAGTTCTTCAAAAAGTTAAACAGTTACCATATGGCCCAGCAATCCATTCCTAAGTATATTATAAAAAGAAATGAAAATATATATCCATACAAAACTTGTACACATTCAATAACAGCACCTTCATAATAGCAAAAAAATAGAAACAACCCAAATGTCCACCAACTGATGAATTTGTAAATGTAATGTATTCATATAATGGAATATTATTCAGCCATAAAAATGAAATACTGATATATGCTACATATGGATGAACCTTGAAAATACTAAGCAAAAGAAGCCAGTTACAAAAGACCATATGTTGTATGATTCCATTTATATGAAATATTCAGAATAGGGAAAGCCATAGAGACAGAAAATAGATCAGTGGTTGCCTAGGGCTTGGGGATAGAGGTCTGGGGGAGGTGGAGAGTGACTACTAATGAGCATGGGGTTTCTTTTTGGGATGATGAAAATGTTCTAAAATTAACTATAGTGATGGTTGTATAATTCTTTGGGTGCACTAAAAACTACTGAATTATAAACTGTAAAAGAGTAAATATTATGTGATTTATATTTCAATAAAGCTCTTTCAAAAGAGAATGGGGGAAAAAAGGAAATAACAGTAAATGCAAAGGTCCAGGGGCCACAATGAGATAAGTGTGTTTGAGGAGCAGAATGGCCAATGTGGCTAGAGATTGGGAAGAGGAGAAACTGACAGGCACCGGTTCACAGAGGGCCTTGATTTTATTCTAAGGCATATTAGTGGAGTTTGGATTCTGAGGCAAACAATGCCATCCAGAGTAGTTTCCTTGTACATCACCAATTGGACTCCATCTTGTTGGAGGCCTGTGGCTCTGGCCCCTAGCTGCCTATTCCAGTTCACAAGGCATAGCTCTTTGCATTAGGAGTTGGCCATGTCATGTGGCTCTTTCACCTAAATCACACCTCCCTGACTCCTCAGGGCTTTGTACATTTTTTTATAAAGTTGTGTTCTATAACAAAAAAGCAAAAAGTGAGACATCAAAATTTTTTAAAATGTTTGGTTAATAATTGATGAAAATACAGAAATTTCACATACTATCCAAACAAAGCCAGGAGTCAAAGGCAAGCTCAGTGAGTTTTGATAAACATTTAAAGAACATGTGCATGCTCTATATGACAGTTAAGATTATGTTGGCTGGCCCACAGAGGAAAGGGCGTGACGATGGGGTTGTGACAAGAATTGTAAGCATCAGACATCTTTGCTGTTGTTTATCCCATGCTCTGTACTCTGCTGACTTGATGGCCATGGGGTCTTGTTGCCTCATCCTGACAGGAAGGCATTCACAGTCCCTCGTCAGGGATGAGAACCAGCCCCTTGCAGAGAGAGCTGACCCCTACCTTTGCTCTTGGGGTCCTTCCACACCCATCAAAAGGAGGAAGCTGTGTTTCCTGAGAATCTTATCAATGGTATGCTCTTTTGCCAAGTCCTGTGATGCTGGTAGGACCTCTCCCGGTCCTCCTACTCCAGCACAGGAAGGGGCCCACACATTATTTGCACTGGGCTTCAGAACAAGGCGAGTTTTAGTTTCCAGCAAGAACAGTAGCAGCAGCAAGAGCATACAGATGAAAGGACTCTTGCTGTGGGGACCACAAGCAAAGGGGACCTCTCAGAGTGACATGCCTGTGCCAGCTGGGGCTCTGATTCCAGCCATCAGAGGTGGTTCTTCCTGCGGAGAAGAGCTTAGGCCACTCTTCCCTACCTTTTATTCTCTGACCCATATGCACCTTTGTTACCACCTGCAGAGAGAGGGGAGTCAAGTTTTGCAGACCTGAGGTAGCCTCCCAAAATCATAATGGCTACTCATATATGTATAGTTTATAAAGTATGTAGCACATGTAGTTTCTTATTATGTCCTCACAACAAGCCTGTGATTTAGTAATAACAATAGCTACCATCTTCTGAGTGCCTACTGAGTATGGGTGTTATGTGTATATACACACATGTACACATAGAATATATGCATTTATACATATATACACACATGTATATGGATATAATATATATATGTGAATATATATACAACATACATACATACATATATATATACACACACACACACACTTATACATACATACATATATTCCTTAAGACCCCTGCAAGGTAGATATAATTATTTCCATTTCACAGATGAGCAAACTTAGATTAAATAACTTGTTCAAAGTCATAAATAGTAGTGGCACTGATGGAAGACTGACCCCCCCAGGACCTAATATTTTCCACCACTTCCTCCATAGGAGTCAATATCTGGACAATTGTCTCATGGGTTACAGAGCTCACACAAAGGGTACCCTGCATCTTTTCCAGCTCAACAATTTTGCGTATTCAATTCCTGGAAACACATGGTCTGCTGGTTGTTCAAAGTCACCTTTTGGTATTTCATAGGTTGGATAAAGTTCATTCGCATATCTTTTCTTTTTCACAGTGCCCCTCCACTCACTGAAAAGGAAGTTGAGGTAAGTAACTCTAGTGCTTTATAAAATTTAATGCCTGGGCTTGACTGGGTTTATTAAAAACATTCTCTTCTCCAGCCTTTGCCCCTCACATTTTCACACAAAAATGAGAATAAGTGACAATGGGGCAATATGGACATCACGATCAGTCCTACTGAACCACTCACATCTCCCACTCCAGTTAATGGAAGCTTTTGACAAATTTGGTCAGAGATGAGAAGGTAGTTGGATATTCCACATTCCTTCAAGAATTGTTGATGTTCTTTAAAAGTATGACTTAGATACATAAAGTCAGATGGGAGGCTCCAGAACTGAATGTAATTTTTTCAAAATTATTAAAAAATGGTCAGATTTTAAGTTTCAGACTTTGGTCTGGATGAAGAAGGTACTTCCCTTCTGAGGGCTTCACACATAAGGAAGCTAGTTCAGATAAGGTGGGAGGCTGTACTGTCAGCACTCTTGCCTTCCTGATTCTTTCATTATCCCCTTGGGCCTCCTTGTCTCTTTGAAGATGCTGCCCAATGGGGTGGTGAGAGCTGAGAGGAATTCTTCTGCATTTTTTTCTGGTAAAGGGGTAGATGAAAAAGGGAATGCCTCTGAGGTGAAATGGTGAGGACCTCTGATGCCAGCACTATTTTGTTTCAAGATAATTATGTCAGAGTTATAGAAGGAAGAGAACAAGAATATGGATGATTCCCAAATCTCTTCATTCCAGGTTGGGAGGATGAAATGTTTTATAGTCTTTACAGCATGGTTTGTCATTGATAACAAGAAAATGAACATACCTTCCTGAGACCCAGTGGACCACATAAACAGAGGAAGACAGACAATGTGAAATCTGCCATAGATAGTAACAATTATCTTGTACACAGATGTTGCACTTACAGTTCATAACACACTAATACTCATCCCCGTCAGCTCTGAAAAACAGGTACAGCAAGAATTAGAACAAAGGAGGAAACTGAGTGATTCAAAACTTACCCAAGGTCTCAGACTCAGTGCTTAGCAGAACCAACATATGGACCCAAGTGTTCTGAGTGAATTCAGAACTTATGTCATATTGCCATGAAAGGGATAATCCAGGTATAGTGAACTAAAGATTGAGCATTACTGAAGAACATAACTGGACTGAGATTTCTGTAGGATGAAGAATCTCCACCTATGAATATTAGTGAAGATGAGCTATAGGTAGATGGTTTAAGGGCCAGCTCCTGTCCTCAGATGTATGCTAACACAAGCAGTGCTCAGCAAGCTGAAAGTAGCACAGGTTATGGAATCAGATAGTCTGAGGTTGAATCCTGGCTCTGCTACTCCCTGTGTCACCCTGAACAAGTTAATGACCTCTCTGTTCTCAGTTTCTTTACCCATAAAGTAGATATAACAGTTCCTACCACACAGAGTTGTTGCAGGATTAAATAAGCTAAGGTGCATAAAACTCATATTAGTGCTAGCATATAGTAGATGCTCAAAAAAGGCTTTCAATACTGTCATCATTGTTGTTATTGAGTCATTCAGGGCCTTCAGTTCTCTATCTGGAGATGTCTGCCCACTGTGGGCAATGACACACAAGCTTCAAAAGCTCAGGCAGAATTAGCTCACCCCAAAGGTATAAATCTGCTACCACTTGACTCAGGCAGGGCAAATGAAAGCTATAAAAATGAAAGTTATTGCTTGCTTCCTATGTAAAGTCCATCTGTCTCTTTCTCTTCCACAGTAGTTTCCTATTATACCAGGAATCCCATATATGATCAATACCACCTTTCAAAGTTTCATTTATGCAGCCTACATTTTTGGCATGGATTATTTTTTCCAGGAAGTTTCTCCCAGCAGAATCCTACTTGGCTTTATTTAATCTCCTGGTAGATTCTTAAAGCTGCTTCCAATGTAGGATTCGGAATACTCAGGCAAAGTGGCTGAACTTTGCTTTAAGTCAACAGGCTTACATCCCAAATTGGTTTTTTAAAATACAGTGGTTTCATGCAAAACCCATATGTAATAAATCCTAGCATGAATCCAAACTGCTTACATAATCAGCTGTGTTGGCCTGAATTTATCTAAACACAAATGCAGGATGTTATTTTCTTGAAATTCAGGAAAAAGCAAAGTGTTATTCTCTTATTATTTTTCACTAAAATGCATTTGGTCTTCAGGTCCTGGGAAGCACCTAGCATGGACCTCAGGTTCTATTTCACCATTTTTTATGCAGTTTACTATGAAGGGAGTGTCTCACTTGTACATGGCTGCTTTGATGATTTGTTTCAGGAAAATAAATGTTCATGAAAGAAACACACCTGCAGCATTATTCTCTGCAGTGGCTTCTCCTAGCACCTCTTCCACACTCTTGTTTCCAACAGAACGTGTTTGTACAACTGTCCTTGGCCTTTAGAAATGACAGTTATACCCTGGAATCTAGAATTAACCAGGCTGAAAGGGAACGCAACCTGACAGAGGAGAACACAGAAAAGGAACTGGAAAACTTCAAAGCTTCCATTACGGTAATGTGAAGCCTGACTGGGGAAATCCATGGAGGAGGGACTGACTACAAGGCCTATGTCAAGTGTCCTGCTTTTCTCCGTCACAGAGTAGAGGCTCTTGAAGTGAGAAATCAAGCCAAGGCCCTAAAGCCAAACAGTCTTCCTCAGAGAGCTGGGAGCTGCTGAGGCAGAGATACTGAAGCCCTGGTTACCTCAGGGTTGTAGGCAAGGACTCTGAGTTCTTGGGAGCTCCTCAGGAAGGGACCGGGTGAACTTTAAAATACAGTGGTTTCATGCAAAACCCATATGTAATAAATCCTAGCATGAATCCAAACTGCTTACATAATCAGCTGTGTTGGCCTGAATTTATCTAAACACAAATGCAGGATGTTATTTTCTTGAAATTCAGGAAAAAGCAAAGTGTTATTCTCTTATTATTTTTCACTAAAATGCATTTGGTCTTCAGGTCCTGGGAAGCACCTAGCATGGACCTCAGGTTCTATTTCACCATTTTTTATGCAGTTTACTATGAAGGGAGTGTCTCACTTGTACATGGCTGCTTTGATGATTTGTTTCAGGAAAATAAATGTTCATGAAAGAAACACACCTGCAGCATTATTCTCTGCAGTGGCTTCTCCTAGCACCTCTTCCACACTCTTGTTTCCAACAGAACGTGTTTGTACAACTGTCCTTGGCCTTTAGAAATGACAGTTATACCCTGGAATCTAGAATTAACCAGGCTGAAAGGGAACGCAACCTGACAGAGGAGAACACAGAAAAGGAACTGGAAAACTTCAAAGCTTCCATTACGGTAATGTGAAGCCTGACTGGGGAAATCCATGGAGGAGGGACTGACTACAAGGCCTATGTCAAGTGTCCTGCTTTTCTCCGTCACAGAGTAGAGGCTCTTGAAGTGAGAAATCAGGCCAAGGCCCTAAAGCCAAACAGTCTTCCTCAGAGAGCTGGGAGCTGCTGAGGCAGAGATACTGAAGCCCTGGTTACCTCAGGGTTGTAGGCAAGGACTCTGAGTTCTTGGGAGCTCCTCAGGAAGGGACCGGGTGAACTGGGATGGCACAGGGGACCAAGAGACCTGGATGTGAGTCCCTTCTTTCAGGCCAACCAGGTATAGAGTGTCAATATTGGGCTTCTCCAATCCCCAGAAAAAGTTGTAGCCTGGGCTCTGAAGAAGCCACCCCTTTCAGCTAGGATGCAGAACCTAAGCCAGTCTTGGTATTAGAGGACCCCAAGTGATGTTTCTTCTCACTCTTCAGTCCTCAGCTTCACTCTGGCACCACTGTGAGCACCGAGAGACCTACCAGAAGCTGCTGGAGGACATTGCTGTCCTGCACCGCCTGTCTGCCCGCCTCTCCAGCCGAGCTGAGATGGTTGGGGCTGTCCGCCAGGTGAGCCTAACCAGCTCCTATCCCTTCTGACTGGCTTTGCTCTGCCCACAGTAACTAGAGCAATAATGTAAGCAGTGACAACTACAGATACCACTTATTGGTGGCTTCCTATGTGCCAAACATCTCATGTACATTGTGATTTTTTGAGTGTTTTTGGAAAATCACTGAACCTCAAGCTTCTCCTTGAGAAGAGCTTTCTGTGGGCACATAAGTTTGAGAACTACTGTGCACTACCTTCCTTCCTTGGAGATTTCTAATACATATTGGCATAATTAAGGCTTCAGGAAGTCCTATAGTGAGGAAGCCTGTTTAACTTTACCTATGCATTTCCCAAGTGTATTTGACAGAAGAACCACCTCCCCTTTTATTTTTCTCACAAATATCTATTCAACTCATATGCAACTAATACTTGGCAAAACATACTTTACGAAAAACTGCTTCATATCATTTAATCTTCCCAGCAACCCTGTGAAGTAAATATCTTTATCCCCTGTTGAAGACATAACATCTCAGAAAGGTACTAGTACTAGTGAGTGGCAGAGCTGAGGTCAAGCCCAGGTCTGGCTCCCTCACAGTCACTTTGAAGTCCTAAGGCACACAGGACACCACCCTGGTCCAGGATGATGTGTGGAATCAGACTGCCTAAGGTCTAATCCAGCCTCCACCATGATTCACTGTGTGACCTTGGGCCAGTTACCTGGCTCTTTGTGCTCCAGCCTCTCCAACCACAAATGCAGATGATAGCATCTGCTATAGAGTTACTGCAATACCTCGAATGCACCTACATGTTATCAACAATGCTGCTCTGGCCGTGGACCCATGTCCTGCTGCATTGGTTGCATCAGCAGGGTGTTCCTGGGGCACAGCCTGAAGCATTTCTTGTAGAACACAGGAAGGACTAGCCTCTGGGCTCTCCCATCCATGTGTTCTTCAGGGAAAGGGTGCCTAGCTCAGCAGCAGCACCCAGGAAGTCACTCCAGCTGGGAGCAGCAATAAAGGGAGAGCTTGAGGGAAGTAGCTCATCTCAGTACATGGCTGCAGGGAATTTTTCCAAGGAATGGTCACTGAGCATGTCCTTGCAGGGAGGGCAGGCCCTGGGCTAGGCATTCTGAGGGATCTAAGGAAGATAAGCAGAGAAAACTCTTCCTCATTCTGAGGAGCCTTCCTTCCCAAGCATGCTTCTCAGCCCATCTGTTGCTTACTAGTCTTCACCTTCTCTGAATGGCACCCTTCACCCATAGCTTCCCTGTCTCAGTCCTCACCTTTCTCTCTGGTTCCACCAGACTGGTTAGGCACCTGTCTTCTCTTTCCTGTTGCTCTCACTGCCACCAGTCTCTTTCCCTTCTATTCTAGTCTCCACTGGTGGCCTGATTTTTCACTTCCTTATTTTAAGACATTTGATGACTCCTCTTTTCCTTCAGAAAGAGTCCAGATTCCTTAGTTTAACATTCAAGTTCCTTCCCAACCCAGCCCTAACTACCTTTTCTTCTTGTGAACAAACACAACCACTTGCTGATTCCTACATAAGTAGGATGACCTGTGCTTTCCCAGTTTTCCAGTCCTGGTATATGCCTATTGTCTCACTGTAATTCTTAGTAGCACCCCTTTTCACTCTTTAAAGACTCTTGTCTGGAGGATAAATCCTTACCTAGATACAAGCCCTACAATGTCCCACCTTTGCACCTTTGCTCTGAGAGTTCCCTGGCCTGAATGCTTTTTTTCCCTCTTGCCCATATCTACATGCCCAGATGCCCACATCCTACATCCACTTCATGTCATCTGCATGAATCCTCCCTGACTCATTCTCTGCAAACAGAGATGTCTCTCACACCTCTTATCTCCTGAAGCTATGCTTGTTCTGGTTCTCCTCCTGAGTCCCCATTCTCAGCCCACATGGGAGACAGCAAACTCTTAGAGGGCAGAATCACATCTGATTGCTCCCTGTATCCTTTCCATTCTCCAGCCCAGAGCCTCACTCAGAGCAAACAAGTGCAGAGGGGCCTTTCCAAATGCCCTTGTGCTCATACTGTCCTTCCTTGCAGGAGAAGCGCATGTCAAAGGCAACAGAGGTGATGATGCAGTATGTGGAGAATCTGAAGAGGACATATGAGAAAGACCATGCAGAGCTCATGGAGTTTAAAAAACTTGCCAATCAGAATTCAAGTCGTACCTGTGGCCCCTCTGGTAAGGAACTGGGCTTCTGTCTCCATCTTGGCCCTGCAGTGTAGGCCCTTGATGGCTTAAGCTAGGATCACATCTATTAGAGCAACCCCAGACCTGCTTCAGGTTAAGCAAGGGCTCACTGCCTCTGTCCAGTGTGCCCACAGGAGCCCCACAGCAGCTGCTCCAGTGAGCCTGGAGCCAGAAAACATGAATGACCCAAATCAACTCTTGACTCCTGATGCGATTAATGAGAGCTGTTGATCATTGTCACAAAGCTGACACTGTCATGAGGTGCAAGATCTCATTCTACTTTGAGAGAGTGACAGACCCTAGACTCTATAGTCTTTGTGCTTCTGGGTCCCCCTTTAAGCAGCACATGCTAAGGAATTTGGACTCAATCCTAGAAAGCATTAGGGATCCAACCAAATATTTTAGTCAGGGAAATGAAATGATCATACAGAGTTTAGAAGGGTCCCTCTGACTATGGTGTGTTCCCTCTGACTATAGTTACATTACTGGGGCAAAAAAAGAGACAGGGAAAGCTATGAAACTACTATCACACCACTTCAGGTGAAAGATGAAGTATGGGCAGCAGGGGAAGAGTAAGAGCTTGGCTAAAGGAAATATTGCTGAGATAAACAGATAAATAGCAGTCTCATCGGGTAAGACAAATGTTTTAAGGAACTATTCTTTTTTAAAAAAAGCAATCTATACGAATTGCTATAGAAGCACAGAGGAAGGGCCACATGATTCTGCTTCAGGGAGTCAAGAAAAGTTTTACAGTGGGATAGCATCTGGGAAGTGTTATAAAGTAAAAATAGAAGTTCTTGAGATAGAAGGTGGAAGTACATCCCAGGTGGAGGAAACAGCACGTACAAAGTTGTAGGGTTAGGAAGGAAAGAATGTGAAACAAATAGTTCGGTGTAGCTACAGTGTTGGAGTATGATGTTGACAGGTGGGATGTTGACAGCTAGGCCAGGGCCACATGCCAGGCCGTTTGTCCTGTAGGAACTGGGAGGCACCAGTAAGCTTATGCCACCTAACATGGTCAGATTTAATTTTTAGAAGATTGCTCTGACTTCAGAGTAAGCAGTGCATTAGGGGAATGTAGACACTGAGTTAGGAGCACTTGCACACTTAGACCAGGACCTCTCCTTGTAAACTGCCAGGGTTTGGGCTCTGGCTAATAAGGATGGTGTTAGCAGGAGAAAACAGACCTTTTAGTGACAGGAATCTCTGTAGAATGCAAACATCCATGTTATCAAGAGTAGGAGGAGGGAAAGTACAGAAAATTTAACAGATGGAGAAACCTTTATAAACAGGAGGTTTCACAAGTTTCCTGGGAAATATCAGTGATGCTTCCCAGAGTCCAAAGGCTGTACACATGCTCCAGACCGCTTTGGATCTTGGCTGCAAGACTCCTGACCCTTATGCATCTGAGCCTCTAACAAACTGCTCTCTGTCATTGTTGGGGAAACTTGCCACTAAGGAAATCCTAACATGTGGGCTCTTGGATTATAGTCTGTAAGGTTCAAGGTCTCCTGGGAACTACCTTACCCAAGATTTATAGAATGAACAGTTACCCATGAGTCTCATTCATTTATTCATTCTACAGACATTATTGAACACCACAGGTGTACCCTACATGATACTGGAATATAGAGATAAAGGGTACACAGTCCCTGACACAAAGGACTTCCAACCTGTGAAGAGGACAGGAAGTGTAACCTGTGCTGTGATAGAAGTAAGCACATTTCCATGGAAAGCTCACCACAGAGCCTCACATTCAGTTTGGGAGGATGAAAAAGTATTTACAATAAGAAGGAAGATGGTAGCTGAGTTTTGAATGGTCAATAAGTGTTTTTCAGACATTTGTTTCCACTCCACTGTTTTTCAGTTTGGGCTGGTGTCGAAAGGCTAGCACCTACCCAACAGGTGTATCTATCAGATATTCTACAACCACTCCATAATAGTCACTGGTTTTAAGCCTCTGTAAGGCTCTTGGCAATCTTTGCTATGCCTGAGACTCTGAAAGATATCTGACTTAAAGAAAGGTGATAATATATTTAAAAGAAAAAAAAACATCTATTATTTTTTTCTGAATATGAAATGTTGATTGTATGCATTTTGGATTATATCCTTAATATGGGTGTCTAGAAGTATAAATGGTAGCTCAGGAGAAAGAAATATTTGTAAGGCTCTGAAACCAAATTATTCTCAAGTAACTCATTGATATTTCCACTTAATGAGCAACAAAAATGTCCAATTCATTGTGACATTGACATTCTTGTTCTTTCTTAAAAATATTTTTGACTTTGGGCCAAAATTGTAATTCATCTCATATTTGAGTTTATATTTTTGACTTTTTCAAATGTTTATTAAACATCTGTATTTCCACTTTTGTAAATTCTTTAATTACTATCTTTTGCCCACTTGTAAGATGGGTGTTTTATTAATTTGTATGAACTCTTCATATATAAAGACCAGTCTCTGGCTCTGCTACTTTGACTAACTGGATAACTTGAAAATCCTTTGACCTAGAAATTTCTGTTGGATAAAATAAAGCAAACATTGATCTAAAAGAATAGCTGAATCTATAAGAAAAGAAATGGAAATACTCAAGATATAAGAAAAGGGAATTGAAACCAAGTTGAGTTTACAGCTTCCTTGGGGACAAATGTCAGCTTAAGTTATCTGATGTGCTAGGCTTTTGCACTTGCATGCAATCCAAGATGAGGTCTCAGACATGCACAGCAGAAAGTTGACTCTGAGATGCCTATGGAAATTTAAGACTTTCCAATAACATCTCCAGACAGAACTTGGACAAGAAAAAAACACCAAACAACAGAGAAACAAATCAAGCAAGTTTGTCTGCTTCACCCTGGACTCTAGCAGGAAAAAGTACTTTTTCCTTCTTCATAGAGAAAGTCCATGCCTAAAAGTGTCATGACAGGAGTGATGATGTAATATGAAGAGAATCTGAAAAGAACATCATGATGGTGCTTTTAGGAACACTGTTAGAAGCAAACATAAAGCCACTCTAGAGAGACACATTCTCTGCCCAGGACACACAGGATTCCTCTACATAAAGTCTCACTGAAGATGAGTTCACAACACAGAATTATAAAATACATAAGAAAGTAATCCACCCTGAGTGAGAACCATCAGACACATTAAACAACAGAACTATATCCTAAGAATCTTACATAATAAAACAATCTGATAAAATTTTTTAAATACATATGTTTAAAATTATTAGAGGCATAAAAGAATGAGTCAAAAACATGAATAAAAGAATACAATTTAAAAAAGAATAAAATAGAACTCCTAGAAGTGAGAAAGGATCATGAAAATTAAAAATGCAGTAGTTTCGTTGTGGTGGTTACTATAGTTGAGGCTGTTCTTCAGTATTCCAAATCTCTTCCTTCTGAGCATACTTCACCACCTCCTTGAAATCAGATAGGCCCATGTGATTGGACAAATAAAATGTGAATAGAAGGACATGTTTCATATTTGAGCTGGGGCCTTTAAGAAACTAATGTGTAATTTGCCTTATGTTTCTTCTTCCTGACATGACAATCATCACTGCTCCAAAACAGTAGAAGCTCCATTAGCCTGAGTCCTGAGTGAGGAAATTCACAGCAGAGCCTGCTTCCAACTCAAAAGCAAATAGACATGTAGCATAAGCAAGAAATAAATCTTTGTTTTTATAAGCCATTAAGACTTTCGGGTTGTTTATTTGGGTAGCATAACCTAACTGATTGGTACTACAACATTTAAATTAGACTGGGTATAATTGAGGGAAAAAATTAATTAACTGGAAATTACCCAAAATTGCCCAAAATGCATCTCAGAGAGAGAAAATGATTAAAAACATGAGAGAAATGTTGTAAGATATGGAAGATGGAGTATAGACTGAGAAAGTTCCATATACATGTATTAGGAGATCCATAAAGAGAGAATGAGGGAAAGAAAATATTAAAAGGGATTTTACAGAATGTGAGAATTTTCCAGAACTAAAGAAAGGAATCACTGGATTCAGAAGGGACAGTGAATTCCACGCAGGAGAAATAGAAGTACATCTAAGAGAAACTGCAGGATACCAAAGACAAAGTGAAGATCTTAAAAGTAACCAGAAAGAGGTGACAGATTATTTACATAGGAATCATAGAACCAGAAGTCAATGAAGTGAATCTTCAAAGAGCTGAGAGGAAATAACTGTCAACTGAGAAAATGGTACATTTATTAGGAGATAATACAACCACCTGAAATATGATGCAAGATTGAGAGCTAAGTAAAGATATTTTGACACAACAACTGAGAAGTTTATTTCTCACAGGGCCTTGATAAAAGAAAAACTAAAGGATGTATTTAGGCAAAATGAAATTGAGATCAAAAGAAAGGAGAAGAATGCAAGGAATGGTGATCAAAACATTTGTAAACATGGGTAAATCTCAACAAGCATGTTTAAAATAACAATCATAATGAATAATTTGAGATTATAAAAACAAAGTGAAATAAAAATACTGAAAAGCAATATAATTTAAGATGCAAGGGAGTCATCATTATTTTAGGATTATTAAGGAAAAGAATAGAGATCTTGATTAATTTTTAATTTAAAGTCACATAAAATGTTAAACATTTAAGTGGGCACACTAAAGATTAGAATAACTTCCAAAATCAATATGCAAGAAGGGAGGGGTGGTTAGGAAAAAAATATCAATGAGTAAAGCAAGGTAAATAGAAAATATAAAATAAGATGGTAGAAATACAGCAATAATCACAAGAAATATAAACAGCTTAAACTCATTGGTTAATAGAATATCTCAGATTGGATTAAGAAAAAATCATGGCATCACAGAAATATGAACAATTGTAAGAGATTACTATGAAGAATTATATGTCAACAAGTTGGACAACCTAGAAAAAATGGATTAATTCCCAGAAACACACAATCTCCAAAGACTAAACCAGGAAGAAATAGAAAATCTGAACATACCAATTACTAATAATGAAATTGAAGTGGTAATCAAAAAACTTCCAACAGACAAAAGTCCAAGACTAGATGACTTCACAGGACAATTACACCAAATATTTAAAGTAGAGTTAATACCTATCCTTCTCAAACCATTCCAAAAAATTTAAGAGAAAAGAAAGCTTCCAAATTCATTCTACAAGGCCATCATTACCTTGATACCAAAACCAGACAAAGGCATTATAAAAAAAGAAAATTATAGACCAATGTCTCTGATAAACAAAGATGCAAAAATCCTCAACAAAATATTAAACTGAATACAAAAATACATTAACAGGATCATTCACCACAACCAAGTAGGATTTATTCCAGGGATGCAAGCATGATTCAATATCCACAATCAATCAGTGTGATATACCACATTTAAAGATGAAGGATAAAAACCATACAGTCATCTCCATAGATACTGAAAAAGCATTTAACAAAATTCAGCAGCCATTCCTGATAAAAACTCCCAACAAAGTGGGTATAGAGTGAACATATCTAAACATAATGAAGGTCATATACAGCAAACCCACAGCTAACATCATACTCCATAACAAAAAGCTTAAAGTTTTTCCTCTAAGATCAGGAACAAGACAAGGATTCCCACTCTCACCACTTTTATTCAACATTGTATTGGAGGTCTTAGCCATAGCAATCAGAAAAGAAAAAAAGCATCCAGATTGGTAAGGGAGAAGTAAAACTGTCACTATTTATAGATATGATACTATATATATATAGAAACACCAAAGATCCACCAAAAAAAAAAACTATTAGAATAAATGAATTCAGTAAAGTCTCAGGGTACAAAGTCAATATACAGAAATTTGCTGCATTTCTATATATAAATAATAAACTCACAGGAAGAGAAATTAAGAAACAATACCATTTATAATTACATCAGAAAGAATAAAATACCTAGGAATAAATTTAACCAAGGAAGTAAAAGACCTGTACTCTGAAAACTGTAAGACACTGATGAAAGAAATTGAAGACACAAATAAATGGAAAGCTATTCCATGATAGTGGATAGGAAGAATTTTTAGAGTGGTCATTCTACTCCAGCATCTACAGATTCAATGCAAACCCTATGAATATGCCAATGGCACTTTTTGCAGAACTAGAGAAAATAATTCTAAAATTTGTATGGAACTACAAAAAACACTGAATAGCCAAAGCAAGATTGCTACATCAAACTAAAAACTACATCAAACTAAAAGCTTCTGCACAGCAAAGGAAATCATCAATAAAACAAAAGGCAATCTATTGTATGGGAGAATATATTTGCAAATGATATATCCAATAAAGGGCTAATATCTAAAATATATGAGGAACTCATACAACTCAACACCAAATAAAAAAATCCGATGAAAAAATGGGTAGAGTACGTGGATAGATATTTTTCCAAAGAAGACATACTGATGGCCAAAAGACACGTGAAAAGATCCTCAACATTGCTAATCATCAGGGAAATGCAAAACGAAACCAAAATGAGATATTGCTTCTCACCAGTCAGAATGGTTAATATCAACAAGACAGAAAATAATAAATGTTGGTGAGGATGTGGAAAAAAGGGAACCCTCATATATTACTGGTGGGATTGTAAATTGGTGCAGACACTAACGAAAGCAATATAGAAGTTTCTCAATAAACAAAAATAAAAATATTATACAATCCAGCAATTCTACTTCTGGAATTTACCCTAAGAAAACAAAATCACTAATCCAAAAAGATATATGCACTCCTAGGTTTATTGTAGCACTATCTGCAATAGCCAAATATGGAAGCAACCTAAATGCCCAATGATAGATGAATGGATAAAAAACATGTACTATATATATATCCACACACATACACACACACATAAAACATGTACTATATATATATATATATATATACACACACAATTAAATGTTACTCAGCCATAAAATAGAATGAAATCTTGCCATTTGTGACAACATGGATGAACCTAGAGGGTATTATGCTAAGTGAAATAAGCCAGAGAAAGACAAATACCATATGATTTCACTTACATGTGGAATCTAAAAAAACAAAACAAATTAACAAACACACAAAACTGAAATAGACTCAGACATATAGAACAGATTGGTAGTTGCCATAGGGAAGGAGGGTGGAAAGATGGGTGAAATAGGTGAAAGGGAAAAAAAAAAGGAGAATGTTTGATATCTTGATCTGGTGATGGTTATAGGAGTTATACACATGTCAAAATTCATCAAGCTGTACATTGATTTTTGCATTTATTGTATGTACCTAAAAATAAAATGTAATTTAAAAAGAAAAAAATCAGCTATGTGCCTTTAAGAAACATACCTGAAATACCTGTATATGAGATACAGACAGATATACAGGCTAGATGATATTAGTCAAACTGAATCAAATGGAAGTGAGCTTTCAAAAGCCTTTCTCTGTACATAATGGTGTTTTCTGGAAGCAGTATTACCCAGGTGTAGTACAAAACATTTTACATAAGTTGTATCATTTAATGTATGCACTATGGAAAAGACAATCCTGGGGTGCTCATTTCATTTGTTGTGAATTATTTTGAAATCACTCTGTCAATAAGTTTCCATCCTTTATCAACCTTTACCTTCCTTGCTCATAATTTCCCTGACTGTATATCCACTGAATGAGCAAGAAATGACCCAATAAGCTTAGTATTGTTATGCATAGTTTTCACACACTCTTAAGGGCATACCAAGACTATGCAGATGTTGGGTGGAGATCAGAGGATGTGGCTTCTCATAATGCCCAGAGGACTCAGGATAAAAGATCTGTCCAAAAAAATTCCCACTCTGCAGATGATCAGCTCAGAGGATGAAGTGTCAAAATCAGTGTCCTCAACACTTAGGCCCTTGGGTCACCCTGTGAGGGCCAATTCTGACCCACAGATACCTTAGCTTAGTTTCTGCCTACTGGTTTCCTGCTGGAGCCTGCTCTGAAAACTTACCTTAGTTCTATTTTTCTCTCCTGCTGCAGAAGACGGGGTCCCTCGCACAGTGCGGTCCATGTCCCTCACTATGGCAAAGGTATGCATGTTTCAGGAATACCAGGGCTCCCAGGGGGAGTCCAACAGGAATTTCCATAGGAAATCATTCATTCCTAGATGCATGGGTACCAGAAAACCTCTGGACAACGTCTCTAATTCAGCTTCCGACACTTGCTAGCTCATCCTCCAACCTTCCTTTCCTCGTGGTTTCCCTGATTTTACCATCCCTTAAATGAATATGAAATGTTGCATGGTTGTTACTGAGACAATTGGGATTATTTCTGTTCCATTTCTTCAGAATCTAATAAAAAATAAGAACATATTGAAAAATCACTCACCACTAACAGAAAATTTGTTTCAACTTTGGTCACTCTCTCCACACCAAGCCCCAACATCATTACTACCCCAAAGCCAACAACATCCTGTGAATGTTATTTCAGCATTAGGAACTAGGAGGCATCTCCCAGGTCTTTCTGAACTGTGGGTACTGCTCCTTCCACGACAGTGGGTCTGATCATTCCTCTTCCCACAGAACATGCCCCGCCGAAGGGTCAGCGTTGCTGTGGTTCCCAAATTTAATGCCCTGAACCTGCCCAGCCAGTCTCCCAGTGCATCACCCATTTCTTCCTTACCAGCCCTGGTGAGTATGATGATGAACTTCCTTCCAGCCATCTTCAATCTTTCCCTCACACTCACTTCTATGGGGGTGACCTAGATGGGGGCAGGTGCAACAAGGAAAGGAAATTTCCAGCACAGATTCTGGGCTGTGGGCTCAAAAAGCTCATATAGGCCAGACCCAATGTCTTCCACTGCCCTGAGAATGATTGAGCAAGGTACTGGTAACTCAGAGAGTGTTTCTTGCAAACTGAATGTTTTTATGCTTAAATTACAATCTTTCAAGGTGGATATGATTTTTTTCCACTCTGGAGTGGGTTTATGTATCTGCAGGTTTCATTGTGTAGTAGGTAGTAGTGCTGAGCTTTGAACACTAGGCTCTCTGATTCTAGAGCCTGAGTTCTTAAAACTAATTTTATCCTGTATCGATCCACTGCAGCATTGTTTACAATGAAAAACTGGAAACTACTGAAATGTCCATTAATAAGAGATTGGTTAAATAAATTTTGTGTAGCCCTATAAGAGGTTTTTAATGAAGCCACTAAACATAACAACTAGAATATAAATCTTTGTTGATGAAAAAGTCCATAATCATTAATACAAAGAAATGTAAAAACAGTATATAAAATAGTATATACAGTATAATTTTGCTTTGTAGTTTTTTAAGGAATTTTTCTGTGTAGACATAGAAAAGTCTGGAAGAATATATGTAAAACTATTAATAATGGTTACCACTGGGCAATGGTAAAACCAAGGTGATTTTAATTTTTTTCTTGATGTCTTTTTATATTTCTATAATAAGAATCTATTACTAGTAATCAGAAAAGAATCCAGTTCAATTTTTTAAAGCAAAGACAGTTCCTATATAACAAAGTATTTTCCACATCCCAGGCCTCTGTGAATCTGGCTGATCCTATCTAAAACTCTTCTAATTCTTTCTCCAGTTGTTTATTGTGTGTCCACAACCAGCACCACTTCATAAGGAATCAATCTAACTGTGTAAGCAATAGGTAAAGTGGATTCAAATTCTATTGTTGTCCCAATAGGCAGCAATAGCTTCTTTCACCTCTTCTTGCCTTGAGCATTTCAGTCATCTATGAAATCAATTGAAACTCGCAAATTGCCCACTGAAGCCAAGCAATCTGAAAAACATTTTTTTAAGGGAGCTTGGGGAGGGTTAGTTAATATGTTTTAACAGACCTATTTCTGATATACTAAATGTACAACTGTGGTTTCCAAATACATATTCCTTTAGACAAAGAGTTGGCAACCAGGGATATACACTAAAATCACGTTAGGTACTTCTAAAACTTTCTATGCCCAGGCCTTACTCCAAGATTATGAATTGGATCAGTATTTTCAAAACCTTCCCCAGGTGATTCTAATGTGCAGCCAGAGTTGAGAACCATTGCTTAACCCAAATCCATTGCAACAAAACAGCATGGTAGTCCTGGGGTATTCATTTTAAAGACATTTCTGGTGGCTTGAACTTCTAGTAATGACTGGCATCTCCTAAGGATTTTGCCTAGAGCTTTATCTCCAGGGCAGTGATGAGACTGCGTTTGGTAGGAGGCCTGCTGGTATTTAGTCCAAGTCAGTAAACAGGAGACAGCAAAACTGATGGTTCCCCTCCTGAATGGAGCCACAAATGTAAACTCTTCTCTTCACTCAAGGAAACTTGGAAGAGGAAAAGGAAAAGGTACAGATTGCATGTGCCCCAAAGGACACTAAGGAAAGGAGGGCAGGGAAGCCGCAATGCCTGGATGTCTGGGCTCAGATGCAGATTAGAAAGCATGGTGGGGAGGGGAGTGGAAGAGGAGGTCCAGCAGCAGTCCCTCCCCAGCATTATCAGAGACCCAGCATCTCTGGCTTCTTCCTTCCTAGCTGATCCTTAATTCTCTTGTCTCCTGTTTTCCATTCAGTCGGAATCACACAATGGGAAAGGCAACCTACCTGCCACCTCTGCACTGCCTGAACTTTTGGAAAAGTAAGTTTGTTGATTTTCATCTTAACTTTGGGGATCTCTGAGGAAAATTTCCCCAACTCACCTTTCCTTCCATCCCTACTCCCAAAATGTGATGGAGAGCAAATTAAGTTCTATTACTGGAGATGGGTCCTTGGTCTCCTTCCAAGAAAGAATTCAAGAACCGACATAGAAAAGCCATTGAGCATTAAGAGTTTATTTGGAGAATAAAGTTCAGAAAAAGACAAGAGTACATGCCCCAGAGTACAGGTGGAGTCTTACTGGAGTCCTGGCTTGCTCCACCCTCATGTGGGTGGGGGAGCTGGGAAGGTTTTGACTATACTTGTTTCTCCCTGGAACTGTCATGGTGCTAGAAGGAATGATTTTTACTATGTTAGTGGGGGGGGGGGGTTGTGTGGATTTTACTATGTTGATGAGTAGATAATGTATTTGGAAATGAAGTCAGGTTCAATTCCTTCATGTTGGAACCAGCCAGTTTGGGCCAGTCTATTAGCTATACCCTCAGTCCCCATCCCATAGGAACATCTTATATAGAATGTGTAGAATGTAAGCAAGCATCCAACCAAAGTCCCCTTCTCTCTCCCTGCTTATATCTAGCTATCTACCTACTTTAACAATTCTATGGGACTCTGAGACCCACAAAGATTTCAGACTAGTTTTCAAAATTCTTGGCCCAGTAAGATGCTGTGGCTGAGGCCAGGTGTAACACAATCTCAGAGAAGCCCAGAGGAAACAGGAGCCTTGCTCTGTTGGTTCAGATTCTTTGGGCTACAGATACAAGAAAACACCAACTCAAGGGGCTTAAATAATAAGTCCAGAGGCAGAGCTTTTCTAGGTGTGGTATAGCAAGGCCCCAGCTCAGCCTCTGCAATTTCCTTGCCCTTACCCACTTTGTATGTTGACTCAGTCAGCAGGTTTGTCGCAATGGCTGCTAATTTCAGGTATTCTATCCAGACAGGATAATATCTAGAGGAAGAAAGAACCCTCTTTTCCCATGTTTCTTTCTTAGAAATAAACCCAGAAACCTTTCTTCAGTCTTCCCTCTTGTTAGCAAATTTGGAACATAGTCCCTTTCTAAGCCAGTCACAAACTTTGGGAATGGGATTGCTGTCATGAGCTTACACTATGCCCTGGAGATGGAGAAAGAGGGTCAGCTTCCCTTGAAGCAAAATGGCTTTGTGAAGAAGAGTAAATTTCTGAGCAAATCAAATGGCTGTTAAGATATAGGAAGGAGAATGAGTATTGGATTGGCAATGAACAGTGTCTGCTACACCCAACTTTTCCAGTCATCTGTGTAATTTGCAGGTCTTTTCATCCTCAGCCAGAACAAGGCAGGCTGTTTCTACACACTCAGAGGAGTTTATAAATTGTTTTTTCAAATTCTTTCATTTGCTTGCTGGAAAACATCTGGATCACAGCTGTCACCTCTCATAACTTTTCCCTTGTGTCTTTCTTCATTTGACAGAACATACACCTCTATTCTTTCTTCCTTGGCTTGAAACAGCTTTTATCCTTCAATTTTCATTGTTGTTAGGACAGTTTTGCTTGACCTGGCAAGGAAGTCTTTATTGGGCCCCTTTTCAGTGCAGACAAGCTCCCAAGCTCCCCACACCCAGACTCAGTATGTTTTCTCAGCTCTCAATATATGCAACCACCCACCTATCACTCAGTGACTCACCCCACTTTAGTGTTGATCTTCATTCAGCAATCCCTCACCTTTCCATTTCATCCTTCATAAGCTTATGGGTCTTTCACATTGTATAGGGTATCTTTGTTTGCTTCTTTGCCTCCTTGTTTTCCTGATCACCACAAGGAATTTTTAAAGGGGTGACAAACTAACAACCATGTGGAAATAACCAAGGTTACAGCATCTTACAAGTCCCTAGAGTCACAGTGTCTAGTCCATAGTCTCTGAATCTCTTCAGAAATGGTCACTTGATGCCCTAAGAGATAAGGACACTAAAATTCTCCTTTCCAATCCTGCCTTTGGGTGTATCAACCCCTTCCCCAGGAGGGCCCCCAACAAGGCCCCATTCCCAACAATATCTGCAGAGCCAGTCAAGGCAGAAGATCTATGTCTCCACTCTTCTCAACAGACTGATGAGACAGGGCCTAGACTCTAGAGAAACTAATGCTCAGGCCAGCTGAGCACTTCTATGTGAGGCAGTGGGGATCATCAAAAACCTGAGCTGTCCTTAGTAGGAGAAAGTAAGGTACAAAATTGGGGACAGCAGGCATTAGCCCCAAAGTAGGAGTGGCAACAAATGAGGATCAATGGTGGCATCACCATTCTAAGGGTATGGAACCAGGAGAGATAGGGACAGAGTGAGGATTGTGACACATCAAGCAAGAAGCTCCAAGAAGGTGTCTGCAGCTCATTCTTAGAAGCTACAGAGAGATACCCATGCTGTGTCTGACTTACCTGTTGAGAATACACCTAGCCTATAAAAATGGCTGAAAAAAAGGGGAAGACTATTCAAAAGAGTAGAGATTCAAACTAACAACAGCTTGCTCCTCTCCAGTTATAAAAAAAAGTTGCTAACTTTTTTCATGAATTCCATCTGAATTCATGAAACTGGAAACATTTAGTAGATTGCCAAGATGCTAACAATGAGACAATCTGTGAGTGAAAATAAATTCCTATCTTTATTCCAAACACAAATACAGTTGATTTTAGCTACCTTGCCCATAGTGTCAAAGAGAAACTATACATTATAAGTTAATATGCAGTACATTCTAGATTGCTGTATTCAGCTTAATGTTAAAATGATTTCACATTTTCCTAAGCATACAGTGACAAAGCAGGAAGGGAACTGATTGAGCTTGTGAAAGATAAGAAGATTAAATTACCTGTGTCTAGTTCTCAAATACCTGAGAGCTAAGTGCATTGCCTAATATAATTTGAGAGAATTCTGAGCCTTATTATTATAGGTCACTTTATAGTAAACTGTTCTTTACTCAACAAGGGTCTAGAAACTGTAGACTTAGAGAAAAACATAGAGTGTTATTTAAAGTTAGTTTTAAAGATTAAAACAGAGCAGTTCCATAAATAGGAAGAGTTATTTATTCATTGTCCTTCACTCTTCATTTCTTCAACAGCTAATCACCAAAGGTCAGGCACCTAGAATGCACTGAAGGAGCTCACAGTAATGGGAAGATGATGGGAAACAGTCCATTAAAACACAATGTGATGGGTGATATCATAAGGAAGTCTAGGTTGCTAAGGGAACAACATAAGAAAATGAACATCTTAACCCAGACTTGAGTGGGGAAGCTCAGAAAATGTTTCCTTTAGGAATTTACTTTTGAAGTGAAACCTGAAGGTTATATAGTTAATGAGATGAGCTGGAGGTTAACAACATTTCAGGCTCTGAGTTGAGAAAGTATGGAATAGTCAAAGAATAATAATGATAATGATAATGATGATGATGATTATTTACTGAATGCCTACTTTAAGCCAAATGCTTTTCTAATTGCTTTACATCAATGATTCTCATTTAATCCTTACAGTAATTACATGAGATAATAGCCCTATTTGAGGAGGGATGGGGAAACTGCACCTCAGAAATCATTACTTGCCTGAGATCACTCAGCTACTAGATAGCAGAATTCATGCTCGTAACCTCTTAACAGACCCTCCAACAGGCAGAAAAGAAGCTGAGTATGACTGGAGAGAAGAGGATGGATTTAAGAGCTGTTTTTGAAAGAGCTCTTGTGAGCTATTGTGAATGAACCTGGTGACTAGCTGGGTGTGGAGAGGAGTGCAGAGTGGAGTGGAAGCAGAGGGTGTATGTGGAGGCATTCGCTGAGGAATCAGCAAAGCCACTAATACGGTTGACACACATTTGTTTCATAAAGGAGGCCATTATACTGTTACATCACACAGAAATTTTCACTATCATCTCTAAAATATATCTTTTATACTTTTGAAGCAGCCAGAGTAAATTGCTTAAAGGCTTTATATGACATCAGACATGTACAGTAAGCAACTCCCCTTTGCTAATAGTATTCTGGAATGAATTAGCCCTCTATCATCTAGTAGTAGACCCCAGGAATCTGGGAGTGGATAACAGGGAGTAAGGAAGTTCTTCTAGCTCAGCTTCCCTGGGCTGGGCTGTCTGAAGGAGCCATGCAATAGGGGTGGTTTAGAGACATTGCTGAGCCCAAAAAGGTAAGATATGTCCATTGGAAAGGATTGTACTCAATTACACTTTCAAATATTGCTTATCATATGAAAAAAAACTCTAATATACCTGCTAGTCAATACATTTTTACTAAATAGCCCCCACATTACTGAGAGCCAAGCATAGTGACTAACATTTTTGACCCATGGACAGAGAGAACAATGAGCCTTATTTTAATGAATCATCCCAGAAAGAAAACATGCAAGATTTCACACTGGGAATAGATGCCAAGATACATGAGTATTTGGTCCAGAAACCCCTAGGGTGGGCACAGGCTGTGCTCAGCTTCAAGTTTACAGCCATGAATAGAAATTCCTTCAGCTCAACCCAAACACTGGGTTATCAGGAAATAGCCATTTATAGAAAGGACCTACCTGTTTTACAGGATTAATAGGCAGGGACTGAATGAGCCATAGTGAAGTCAATAAAGCTCAACAGACACTTAAAGGTGCTTATTGTGTGCCAAGCACCATTCTATCTCAAGCTAGTCCCTTTCCCTGTGATCATAGTCACATGGAGGGATGGGCATATATATAAAACAAAAAATGCCCTATCTCCAAGTTCTGCTCTTATAGAGGTACAATGAGGGAATTGAGGGAGCGAGAGATCAACTCTAACCAAAGGAAGTGGGAGAAGGAAAATCGCTGGGAAAGGTTCCTCAGAGGAGAAGGTATTTGAACTGAGTCTTAAAGATGCACAGGGAGAAACTCTAGGTAGTTAGAGAAGATATTTAAGGAACTAAAAGCTCAGTCTAGGGGTCAGAAGACAACAGCAAACATTTCACATGTTGTTTGTTTCCCCCACTTCACACCCTACCCCCCAGCATTAACTAAAGGTTCTTCCAGCCCATCTCTCCCTCTAAACAAGCAGCCTTTAAAAGAAGGGAGGCATCATAAGCCATGGCCCAGCCAAGAGCAGGAATGGCTTTACTCAGCAAGTATCCAGGAGCCCCACACACCACTCAGAGCCTCAGGAAAAAACTTCTATTGAAAGGGGGTGTAGAAAAATGTATCTTGGCATGTGGTTAGAAGACCAAGGTGAGAGTCTCAGCCAGGCCCACCAACCACCAATAATGTGAATTTAGGCAGGTCACTTAATCAACTTGAGCTTGGGTTTTTAATCTTTTAAATGGGATAATACCCATACCCTGCATGGATTTTGGATAGTGTAGTTAAAAGCATGGGCAGCTGTCAGACTACACAGGGTCAAAGTCAAGCTCTGGCCATGTGATCTTTAGCTACATATTTAATCTCTTTGAGCCTTGGTTTCCTCACCTGTCAAACTAAGAACAATAGTATTACCTCTCTTATTGGCTCATTCAACTCTTACTTAGCATAGAGCTTGGAACATAAGATAAATGTTAGTTCTTCTTATCATTGGGAGGGTCACAGGAGAGAATGTATGTAAAAGCATGTTAAGAACTAAAGCCCCAGAGGTGAGTTGAGTTGGACACGGTGATCAACTCAAACTGGCACAGCTGCACCCAGAACAGAAGATCTGCCCGTTAAATGATGAGTGAAATGGGCTTCCTGGATCTACCAGGGAAAAGTTTTAGTCTCTAGAAAGCAATGACCCAAGGATAGTGAAAATTTTGTTTACCATCACTTTGCCAGCAAAACTCTAAAGTGCATAATGTGTTATGGCACACAGTTGGCATGCACTTGCAAAATTTACTAAAGCAATTTTATGTACATTTTACCATACTTTAAATTCACATTTTGGGTTCTTCTGACTCTGAAGTGTCAGTAATATATACCAAGTTCTGCCTTAAAGATTATAAATAATCACCTGGTAATTTATCAATTTTAGATTTTTTATGAATCAGATTTGGAAGAACCTCAGATTACTCCCAACATTTACCAATAAATTTAATGACAATAATAATAATATCATTTATTGAGTACCATATTTCAGAAAGTTTACTTATATTTCTTTGTTAATTCTTACACTATTGTCATTATGTGAATATTACTATTTGCATTTTATAGCTGAGGAATCTGAAGTTCAGGAAGTTTAAGTAATTTGCACATATAGAAGCTGGGATTTAAACCCACATTTGTCTCAGGCAGGTTCTTTTCCTTTACGCTACACTGTCCTCCTTTATACATGCTGTCATTAAACCTCTAAGGTTCATAGCTGTAGATAAAAGAAATTCTAATTCTAAAAGTCTAATACCAATATTTCATTTCTAATGTATAAACATGTTTCATAAAAGAATTGCTTTTCCTGCCCGTGTCTGTAGCTGTTTTCCTGCCCGTGACTGTAGCTGTTTTTCTGCTCTTGTTCTGTTTGGACAAATAGGAAACTACACATTAGACAAAGGTCACATGGAAGGGAGTACATAATTTGCAAAATGAGAAATGTTATGAATAGGTGATATTTTTAGAGTGTTATCTTTCTTGTTCACAATGGGTTTTGGTTTCCAGCTTGATGAAATGTAAATTTTACAAGGTCTGATGAAAAGTAAGACATGGGAAACTGATGATGCTAAGAATGAGAAGGAGATATAAGGCTCACTCATAAAGCTTGTCTGAGAGGTTGGAGAGGGTGGCAGTTGTGATCTTTCAGAGTCCTTGATGAAAAGCTATGTTCACTGTTTTGCCTTGTTCAAGGGCTCCTCCATGACATGACTCCCACTGGGATCCCAGATACCTAGGTGGGCTGAAGGATTTATAGGGAAGGTATGGCCATCAGGATACTTCCTTTAGACTCATGATGCCATACTTCAAATGGGCTCCCAGCACTGCCCAGCCATCCTGTGATGATTTTCTAGCATGTTTGTTTTCTCCCTTCTCTCACACAATGCTTTGATATCTTCTCCTCTGTCCTCAAACCTTCCCAGGCCTCTCTGCCTCTCATTCTCCACATATCACCTTGTCTTCCATTTTATAGAAAAATTTTAAGCTATCTAATAGGAACCCTCTCATCTTCGTTTATCAGATCTCCAACCCACCATCTTCATATAACCCAGGAGAAATTTCTCCACCTTTCTAAGGTCTGTCCTTACTTCTCTTTTTAAAGAGCTTGTTCCTTTGGTCATCTCCTTTTTCATTCGCCTCTATGGGATCATTTCTATCCATGGCCAAATGTGCTCTCATTATTTGACCCACTTCCTTAGCTATGCTTTCCCATAACACACTGTTCTCTTCTCCCCTTTCTAGTCCAATTACTGTATTTATGTCTTCCCGTTTCTCTACTTCCATTCTTTACCAAGCTCATTCCAATCTGTCTGTGGCTCCCACCATTTCACCACATTTCACCAAAGCTCTTCTTGACCTTCATATTATCAAATCTAATAGTCACCTTTTCTGCACTTATCTGACATCTCTTAAAAGTGCAAATCACTTAGCTCTCCCCTCCATGATACACTCTCCTCTCTTGACTCCCTGGACCCCACACATCCTTGGTTTTCCTCCTACCTCCCTGGCTGCTACTTCTCAGTCTCCTCTGTAGGTTCCTTCTTCTCCATCTGCACTAAGGGTAGAAATGCCTATGGCTTGGTCCTGATTCTCATCTTTCCTCATATTATTTCTCTAGGCAATTTTATCCCTCTGGCTTTAAATATCACCTGTATTCTGATAATGCCAAATGAATATCTCCCGCCTAGAGCTCTTCTCTAACTCACTCTGGTGGAACTACCTACTTGACATCTCTATCTAAATAACCTCAAAACCACCAAAAATCTATCTTGTCCAAAAGTTGACTTGTTTCTTTTCAGTTCCTCATACATCTCCGCATCTTTTGTATCTCATGGTCCTCACACTCCTGCATCCTCTACCTAGAATTATCCTCCCTGTGCTATAGATATTGCTGACTTCTCATCCATTAGATCTGTGCTTCAGTCATACCACCTCAAAGAGGCCTTTTCTGACCACCCAGTCTAAGCAGATTCTTTCATTATTTTTTTGTCACTGCACAGTGTGTTTCTTTCAATAAGTTACCACAATTTGTAATGAATTATTTTCTCTCTTTTTTTTTGGCATTTCCTTCCTGCTAAGCTCCAACGGCAAAAGACCATTTCTTTTATTTTCTAATGTATCCCCTGCACATTACAAGATACCTGTGATTTAGTTGGTACTCAAGAGATACTTAAATGAAGAAAGCAAAAGATGGACTCCAGGAATGGAATGACTCTGAACATTTTAATTTGCTTCCTTCTTCTTCTTAGTGCTGTGGAGGCCCCAATAGTTTTCTATCCACTCACAGCATTTCCAGGAATAAGAATAAAGGTGAATTTTGGAGCATGAAGAAAAAGGGGAGCTGGTTCCTATTTGATGTTTGGGGATCTAGGGAAGATTCATTGGACTAGGGCCTTTATAAAATCTTGTCTCATTGAGTTCAATCCAGAATGAGTTTCCTCACTTATGATCAGAAATCAGGCCACAGACATGGTTTGGTTTTCAGACACCAAATCTGTCACTGAAACGATACCTTGTACTTCCTCTCTCACTAGTGGAAAGGCAAATGGGGACCCAGATTGTGAAGCTTCTGCTCCCATGCCGACTTCAAGCTGCCTGGAGGAGATTAGCCAGAAGACCAAGGCCAGGATGGAGGAAGAAGCATACAATAAGGGGTGAGTCAGACTTTAGTCAACCTGAGGTTACCTGGCAGGTCCAGAAGATACCTTCCCATGGTCCTTTCCTGTTTCTTAGAGGATTTAGGGAAGCAACGAGTGGCCCCAGGACCTCCTTGCCTCAGTAAAGAACTACACAGGAAACACCAATACTGTTCCACAGGAAGGACAAGAGGAAGCAGGGCAACAGGGTGTGGTCAGACAATAACTAGACTGCCCTCTTTTTAGGCAGAAAGCCACCAGAACTCCACTGTGCATAATAGTCTGGAACTCAGGGGCTCTGGGTGGGTTCCTCTTTTGATGCTGAGGTTTCCTGGCATGTGCCCGGCCAAAGAAGACATGTGGCTGCCGACAATGCCCAGGAAGCTGCAACCCCACTTCCTAGAACTGCCCTGGCCACCCCTTCTTCCTATAAACTGGGAGTCCCCTCAATTTTCAACTTTCCCCTTCTCTAACTGAATTTCAATAATATCATTGGCCCATTGTCAGTCACTGACAGCACAGAGTTCTGAGCAGGACTGAAGCCCAGCCAGGTAGAGAATTACCTTTGACCAGGTATCACTATGTCCTGAGCTTCTCTTTTCTCTATGGCTTCTGGGGGAGACACAGCTTCCCGTCCATGTGGAATGTGTGGGCTTCCATGTGGCAGCTATAGACACCATGATGGAGTATCCTCAGGCAAACCGTGCTGGCCTTAAACACTCAGCTGTAAGACAAGCAAAAAGAATGTGTTCTGGGTAATATTGATCCTGAAAGAAGAAATGGAAGGGTTTCTGTTGGAAAGCCTGTCTTTTCACCTACAAGTTCTTCTGTACTTAGAATCTGTGGGGGTTAGTGCCTCCATTGGCTTTGTCAACATTTACTGAGAACCTCTCTAGGCCAAGGTATGTGCCTGTCACTTCCATAAAACCTCCCAACAAGACTGTGTGATGGGTATCGCTCTCCCTAGATGAACTCGTTTGGTTGGCACTTCCTCAAAATATTCCCATACCCTGTAAGATGGTTGCCACCCTACCCAAGTGGGGAGCTAAAGTGTCAAGGTTACACAGAAAGCAAATGCACTCTTACCCACTGGGCATTTTGTAAGATAAGAACCAAGTCCGGAGATTCTGCACCCACATTTTTATCACATTTTCACATAAACAGGAAAGAAGACAAGGAGTGAAGGGAAATTATACTGACATGAGCCACCTTGGGATTCAGTGGAGCTTCCCAGCTTTTTCCTGTTATGTAGAACCACAGGAAGTGCATAATTACTGGAGGTGCTCAAGTCCCCACCTCTAGGAACTCAGGAAAGGATACTCCATGCCTGCTCTTTCCAGACTGAATTGTTCCTCTTTGCCCTCCAGATACCAGGAAGGTCTAAAGAAGACCAAAGAGCTTCAAGACCTGAAGGAAGAGGAGGAAGAACGAAAGAGAGAGAATCCTGAGGAGCCTGAAGAGACAGAACTTGAGGAAGATGAAAAAGATGAGAGAAGGAGGTTGGAATCCTTGCCATTGCTGAAATGGTTCATAATTCATTTAACTGTACAACATCCCTGGGCAGTACCAGTCAAGGACAGCAGTGGGTCTGGGGCCCAAAAGAGTAGCCAAGAGAAACAAAGAGGCAGAGGAAAGAGGCAAAATAGTTAACAAGAATTTGCAAGAGCTGAGGAGTCAGAGGTGGTCAAGAGTGGAGCCAAGAGCAATCAGGAGCTCCCAGGAGCCATGAATTTGTGAGGGACACTGACTGGAGTAGCTGTTAGTCCAGTCAGTTAGCTCCTTTCCCAGTGATCCCCATGACAGAGCCAAAGTTAATGGAGCTGACGTAAAACCCTAGAGGGGGTTTCTTACAAGAACCGGGACAGAAAGAACACATGTGGGTAGGGGACCAACTCAGCTCAGTGGCAAAGGTGTCTCCAGCATGTTCCAAGATGACTAAACAAGCTTGGTCATCTGATAGTATTTTCATGCTGTATTGGACATACTTGATTTTTAAAAATATATAGATTTTATATTTTAAGTGTATTTTTCCCTAAATAAGGAAAAAATATATCACATGTATATAAAGATAGCATAGATCTTGCCTCTTGTCCTACTGGTGCTCTCATCAGTGTCCTGTATTTTAATGATAGCCCCAATTTTATATGTTCTTCCCTATTGTCTCTATTAATACAATCAAACCAAAAGTCTTGAATTTTGATTTTTAAAATGTGGTTACAGCAAACTTGGAACATTTCACTAAAATCTTAGTTTTTAGGCCCCCAGGCTATCCTGGAGTCCAGTGTGACTCCAGCCAAAATGATATCTAATCAGCTGCTAAACTTAGGACAGGGCATGTGTCTATGCCTCATTGTGGGTAGACTCTGGAAATTACATGCATGCAGCTAATATGGTAATAAAACAAAGATTAGAAATGAGATGGATATGCTTCCAAGTACATAGAAACAACCCATACAGCCCAGTTGGTGGAAGCTTCAACCAGAGTGAGGGGTCTCAACCTGCATGAGTTAACCCCAATGTTCAAGGGAAGAGAAGTCCAGGAGAGCAGGAGAAAATGCTTCACTGCTGAAAATAAAGCTGAGCTAGGATGCACCACCTCCCCTAATGAAAGAAACCCCAAGTTTTAACACTAAAGCACAGTTCCTATTCTATCTGCTGCTTTCATTCTCTTCACTTCTTCTTTCCCTCTTAGGGGTCCTGGTCCTCTTATTTTTTAGGCCACCACAATGCCTTTCTCCCCTCTAATGCAGTCAAGCCCAGGCCTAGACAATAGCCCTTCCTTTGGCTTCTTCTTAGAAGTTCCAGCTTGTCTTAGCTGTATTTAAAGACTTTCAAATACTGAGAAAAAAAAACAAAAGAGAACTAAACAGAGAGAGAACACAGAACATAAACAGTTTGGTTTATGAAATACAGGGCTGGAATTCTTATGTAGCTAACTTGATCTCAGTTGATTGGCAGCTCCCTCTCATTTCATGAAACCTCCAGGGGAAGTAAGGCAGTGTCTGGGTCCCTCTCTATCTAGCTCCTGGTCAGCAGTACATACCAATGCTGCCCAAGAGTGTCTGCTTGGTCCTACTTATCCTGAGAGACCTCATTCTCTCTCCCAAACTTTGTTCCCTCTTGGATTCACTTCTTGGTCTTGAAAACATGCCTGTACCTCAGGTGACAAACGCCAGGCATCAGTACAGCCCTCAGTAGGGTCCTTGTCCTTCAGCACAGGAGTGTAGCTTCCCTTTTTCATGCCCAGCAGTATGGCTTGACATCTCTATGGCAACTGACAGTGCCATCATATAAACTGTCCACTCACTGTTATGGGGTCCCTTCCTAACCTGTCACCCAAGCCAGACTGGTCCTGAGAGCTGTTGTCTTCAATGCCAGTCAATGTCCTCATTCATTCCCGAGTCTCTTAGACACACAGTTGCCTCTAGGAACCTGTACTCAAACATAATTTCCCCCATTAAATTTTGGCATCTAACTAACAAGCAAGGTCTGAAGTTATTTAAAGTTCCATGTTCCACTTCGTATATTTTAAAAATACTGGGCTAACCCCAGCAGCTGACTCCTTATTTAAGGGCTATGACATCAACACTACAGTCTTTTTGTCTGAATTCCTTTTCTGTTATAATCTGCTATAAATATTACTTTTGGGAGGAGCAGCTTAAATGAACTTCAGCTGAATCAGCCCAATATCTTAACCATATTAAAACAGAGGACAGTCTTCTGACATTTATGTAATGAACAAGTGAGACTCATAAGAAGCAACAGAAAACTTTCATCTTTTCTGCCTTTTCAAACCTACTCTATGGGGTTAAGATGATATTAGGCAGATTTCCAGTAACTCTCAGAAAACAGAAATCCTTGGGTCGAGTTTAAGTCCTAAGAATAACTTCATTTTAGCAATTACAATGGCCAAATCACTGAAATAGTGAAAAGTCTGAGCTTCTTACAAAGTTTAAGCTTCTTTTTTCCCCCTGTTCCAGTCTGCTTTAGGGAGGAAGCCTATAGTGGGGACAGAGAACATGGCTTCTTTCCCCCAATCCCTCTTGTACTCCCACTCTCCACCCCAGATCTGCTAATGTAGTGTCTGATGTCTCCAAGATCAATGCTGGGAAAAGGAACTGAGATTGAGGGGACAGAAGTTATAACCTAACTGATATTGTTGTGAGCAGACTCCAGGGCTTGGCAGGGATTAATGACTTCTGACTTTGTTTAATATATCACTTTTATGGGATCTCCAAAGGAAACTGCTTCTCCCACCCCCTAAAACATACCCACATTCACACCATTGCTGAGGATTTCTCAGCTGCGGGTTCCTTTATAAGGTTGAATGCATCTCTTCTAACTGCCCATTGAAAATCCCTCTCTTAGTCCTTGGGCACTGGAAGTATACCTTCATTGTTCAGCTTCTAGGCAGCATTTCCAGGCAGGATCTGTGACACCCCATGCCAGCTCCCCTTCACCTGGCTGTATCCAGTTAAGGTGAAATGTGTACCCTTGGCCCACTGTTGGTGGAAGGACAAGTTTCCCTATCATGGCCTGCTACTCTGATGCTACCAAGCATGTCAACAAGATCCTTGCTCTTCAGATTGCTCATGCATGAAGCACACACCAGTCCACTATGTCCCCAAACTGCAACATGTTAAGCTCTCTAAGCAGCATCTCTGAAGCCCCTCTCCCTATGGCTGAGTGAGGGGTAAACAACCTTACACCTCCCAAAGAGAAACCAAAAATCAAAAATTGATTTCACAGGAATTCTATTTCTAATCTAATTCTAGTTCTAACCTCTTTCATAGGCTGGAAATGAGTACCAGCTAAGAGTCACAAACCCAGATTTGACCTCCTCCTCTGCAGTCTCACTTAAAAATGGGGTTAGAATGGGTTTCTCCCCACTCTAGCAGCTTGTATTGGAACATGGAAATAAAGCCCAAAGAAAGATTGCAATTTGACATCCAGTTATATCTAAATAGAAACTAAAAAATCTAAATAGAGCTGAAAGAAAACAAGTTTCTGTTTCTCAGCTCTCCCTTCCCAGGGTACAAATAGCCAATGATTTTCACCTCAGCTTATATGCTCACTGTTTTGCTTTGCTTAATTGTTCCTGAAACAATTATTAAAGAGTTCTCATATGAAAAAGAAACCAGTAGGTGTCTTAGTATCCAAGGCAGGCTTTCAGAGCATCTGGTCCCTTTTGAAGGAGGATAGTTGCTGAGTCTCTCCACCCATTGTGAGGCATCTTTTTCCAACTCTTAATTAGAGCTCTCTACTTCTCAGCAGATGGCCTGCATATTTCAGGGTCTGTGTGAGCCTTGAGATCTTCATAAAGCCCTCCTGTCACTTTTCTCACCTCCTCATTTGATGATCCTTAGTATTATTATTTTTTATATTATTAAAAAATAGATCTGGGATTAGAAATAGGGACGAAACTCTAGAGCTCAAAGAATGGACTCATCAAAGCAGGCCATCAAATCAAATGTCTTCTCACCAGGCCAAAAGGGAGTGGAAATGTTGAAAGGAAGTTGGGAAGACAGGAAGAGGAAAGAGGGGAGTGCAGCAGGCAAAAAATGGCAGGGGGAGATGAAAGGGAAGGTAGGAGGAGAGAAATCAGAGGGGAGAGGGGAGGGAAAAAGGAGAGGGGAAATTAAGGAATGAGGATTAATGGGATTGAGAAAATACCTTGAATAAGCCATTTGGGGTTGCTCCTGGGATACTTTGAAGTAAGCTCTAAAGGTTGATCTAGTTTATTGTCATTTATCACTCAACATCAAGAGTACTGTAGGAGTTTACCACAGTCCTTCTGCTCTGCACCCAGATATGGAAGTGAGAAAAAGAACAACAGGTTATGCATCTGAACATGGAGGCAGGGGCAGATTAGAACTTGTAACTGATAACTAATACAACTAAGTGCAGAAAAGATGCTGGTCCTGTCTGCATGCATGGGAGTATGCATCAGCCAACCTTGTATCTTGAGGCTAGGGAGAGTTCAGATTATCAAGGGCCATCTCATAAATAGATGATATGTGTGAATGAATGAATGATCAGACAAGTAAATAGTGTCATAGCCATTGAAGTGGCTCCCAACATCAAGGTTATGGACTAGGGGTAAAAATCACCTGGGGAAAATTTTTGAATTATAGATTCCTAGACCATACCTTTGGAGGCCTGAGGTATTTTGAATAGTGGCTGTCAAGTGATTCTATGCACAACCAAGTTTGAAAAACACTCCTGAAGACAACATGGAAGGTACTCCTAGATAGAAGTAGGGTCTAGGCATCATATATGCACCCAATATACTAAACTCTCCACCTCTTTTTTTTTTTTTTACAGCAAATTTGAAGAATTGGTTCATTTCTTACAAGTCATGTATCCCAAACTGTGTCAGCACTGGCAAGTCATCTGGATGATGGCCGCAGCGATACTGGTCTTGACTGTTGTGCTGGGGCTCTACAATTCCTATAACTCTTGTGTGGAGCAAGCAGATGGGCCCCTTGGGAGATCCACTTGCTCAGCAGCCCAGAGGGACTCCTGGTGGAGCTCAGGACTCCAGCATGAGCAGCCCACAGAGCAATAGGAAATCCAATACCCAGCTGGTGCCCTCCTCCAGCACACAGCTGACTGCCCTTTTCCCAAGCATAGTGTGTCAAGCCAGGCATGGGCACACTACCACCTGCCCATCAGGAAATAAGCAGGGGTTCTTTCATACTTGGCACCCCTGTGTGAGCTATTCATACACAGTAACTGATGTTCTTGGAGGATTAACAAAACTGCCCTGGGAAAGCATCTGCTGGATGAAGAAGTCACCTTCCCCAAGGAACTCTAATGAAAGGGAAAGTCACCTGCCCCTAGCTCAGACGGCCAGGAGAAATAAGACACCTTCACTGCTGGGACAGTAAGAAACACTCCTCTTTTTCCTCTCAGCAATTGAAAATCAGGAAGAATTGTGCCCAAAGGCTAATTCTGCCCCCAAGGATCAGACCTGGAATTTGGAGTTGCAACATGAATATCTTCCCATTTCCCATCTCATTCTCACTGACTCTCCTTCAGCCTCCCCCTCTCCCCTTTGGAATCAAAGTTTCTCTTTATAGAAGTAGTAAAGGTTTCTCAGAAAAATATTTAGGCTGAATTTAGCTGAGTGATTGAAATGAAATGGGAAGATGTGAATTAATACATATGCGTCTATACATACACACAGCACACACACACATACATACACAGCACGCACATGCATGAAGCCAACACCCTCCAGATGTGTGCACTGGGTGTATGTTTTGGATAAAACCAACCCACAGATTTTCACTAGGTGGGCAGTCACCAGGCACCTGTTCAGTGAGCTCTCCACATGAATTTAAGATGTTTGAAAAACACTGAAAACTCATGGCTTCAATGGCGACGTTGCTGGTCTCCATTACAAGTGCTAATTCTAAGCTGCTGTACAGCACAGTCTGTTCCCAGTTGTTCTCTCTGATTGCGATCAGTTAGCCAACCTGTCAGGTAAAGGAGGAGACACGGTGTGCTTTCAGTTCCTGTGTGCCCTCATGCAAGGGCATGGTGCACCTTAGTGCTGCAGTTCAAACGGATCTCCAACCCAAGGATATGTCACAGAGCATTCCCAATCGTTTAGCATAAAACTGAGGGAGAACATCCCATCTCTACTTTGACTCATCCTTCCACCTTTATTAACACTGCCTTCAGTCATCCCTCATCAGTTTTGGGGGCTGTTGTTTTCTGTGGGAGTTTTATTACAGCTGTTTGCTTTTGTTCTTGTTTTGCTGTGGACATTGTTGGCTCTTGTTGCTAATACTCATATAGAATTTATTATGAGTCAAACACTGTTCTAGATATTATATAGTTATTAATTCATTTAGTGCTCGACAGAAAGGAAAAACTATGAGGTAGGTACTACTCTTCCCATTTTCAGATAAGGAAACTGAAGCACCAAAAAACGTAAGTAATTTGCCAAGGACACCCAGTTAATAAATCATGGGGCTGGAACTGAAGCCCAGGCAGGCTGGCTACAGGACTGTGCACTAAATTGCATCTTCCAGTGGTCTCCAAACTGGACACCTTACATTGCAGTCCCACTCCCCCATGGCCTTCCAACCACTCCAAACCATTTCTGATACCTAGACTAAATGGTTTTCTCTCATAGCTCTGTTCCTCCACCACTAGTTTTTCTGCTGCTGCTCTCTTTTCTTCTGGTTACTCTTCAGGACCAAGTGCAAAAATTCTCCTCTCCATTCAGGCTTTGATGACCTCCCTCAACTTCCCCCTACACCCCACATCATAGTTCACACCCTCCTCTGTGCTTTCTGACACTCTTCATTATAGATCATTATGACAGTATATCACAATAACTTATTCTGTGCCTTCTGCCCTAGTATTTTTTCCTCCAAAACAAGAACCATGTGTTACCCATTCTCTGGGTAAGTGCCTAGCATGGTAGCTGATACTTGGGAGGGTGTCATTAAATGTTGGTAAAAGAACAAGTGAGCATTCAATGTAGTGGAGAGCAGGCTGCGGACAGCTGCCATTCTTCATTCTTCCTAGTATCAGCACCACTGCCAACACTATTTCAATGAAAAGAATGTCTTTATTAGCCTCAATTTATTCTCACATTTTTCTTTCAGTCTACTCTATGAGAGAGCAGAAATGAGACCTAACCAGCAACACCATTTCCAAGTTCAATGGTGTAACAATGATGTAACCACTCTTTTCAGAAAGACCCTAGAAGGGGCCATGCTGTAAAACAGCATGTAATTTTAAGGGGAGCATCCCTTACAGTGGCTAGAAAACCACCATGAGAGAGGACCAAGCAAGGGTTGACCAAGGATGTGCCATTAAGGTAAAGAGGTGCAGATCAAGACACAGGGACTTTGGGAGCCTGGATGGATGGCTTGCCCTGCCTCTTCCAGGGGACCAGACACACTGAAAACTCTTTCAGGCCCTCAGAGCCAAAGGCAGGGTGAAAACGGAGCTCCAGAGTGCCTGTGGGGCAGGACTTTGTGCTGGCAATGTCCAGTTTCAGCCTCCCTTAAAGAAGAACCAGGCTGAGCTGGCCCACTATCCACTTGGCCACAGGGTTCCACCTTTGTTTCCAGTTGAGACAAAGGCCAGAAGAGCAGCTCTAGTGAGCTCCTGAACCTCCAGCTGCTCTGCAGAAAGGCCTGCAAAAGTACTTCCAGACAGGCCCTCACCCAAACTACTCTGTAAGTAAAGGAGATTGAAGAAAAGAAGGAGCATAAGAGTAATCACTCTTCCAAGGGCATTCCTGGAAAAGTATTCATCAGCATTTCTCTTCTGAAAAGCAAAGATTGACCTGAAGCAGTCAGAACTGTGGCCAAAGAAGCAGAGAAATGGTGAGAAACAGGGCCTGTATTTCCAACAGTGATATTGATCTAAAATAAAGGCTCCCTTAAAATGTCTCTGAAGTCTGACATTTCTGCTTAGCTGAAGGACTCTGGGTACCTATCCTGAACTGCAGAGTGATATGTTGTTTGTGTCATTGTTAGTATTACCTCCTAAAAGGACCTTCACTTTCTAGCTGCCACAAAACCCATATGTATTGGTCCCTGTGTACAGCCTGGCAGAGTCAATGGAGAGGGAGATGCTGGATTTGTATATCACTGGCTGTCAGTTCCTAATGTTGTTAAACCTCACATAGGTGTGCTAGCATTGAACTATAGAGTGTCACATACCTGCATTTGAAAATAAAAAGCACATTTCCAAATCTTTGGCAAAAGCCAAATGCCTCCTCATTTTATGGAGATAAGTCACAGTGTTGCTCCAACCCTGAATTAGACCCCTTTGTATATTAGTGCCTCCTAGAACCAAGCCAGAGGGCTTCAGTTTTGGGGTCATTGTTCTACGGGCTACATCCCAGGGGCTGCATCAGTTCCCCTCCTCTCCTTTCCCATTCCTGACCCTAGTTTCCTGTACTTTCTTGGTCTGTAATTTTTAAAATTAATACATTTTTCTGTGCTAGGGACTGCTGAGTTTTCACCAACATGATTTCCACAGCCAGACTACTTTTTCAGTTTTTCTTGCAGCTAGATGAAGGGAAATAGAGACCCTCCGATCTAATTTCCTAAAAACAGACTCTCCTGCCCACTATTTCACACTCTCTTTATTTCCCCTCTGTAGCTACTAAATTCAGTGGATTCAGTTTAGGACCTGAGGCTTGAAAAAATGGCACAACAACTAGGTGGAATCTGGGTTTGTGAACAGGCACTCACAGAATTCAACTGTAACATGAATAAGAAATAAAATTATAGTGTATTAAGCCACTGAAATGCAGGTATTTGGTGTAACAGTCTACTCTGACATTGCATATATTTGAACAGAAATAAAGTACTTCAATAATACATTTTCAAAATATGAGGCATTGGCTTAGCAGTCAAATGACAGAAAATAAAAAAACTGGTATCAGGGGCTAGAAATATGGTGACCAGTATTGTGAATAAAACAAAAATATACGGTAAAGTTTAACCATGATAACTTGAAAGACATGATAAAACTGAGGCCCAGAGGTCTATAGCTCTGGAGAAATTATTGGAATAAATCAGTGGTAGAGTATGTGAAACTTTATTGGCTGCCTTTGGCAAGGTATTGTATGAAAAAGATGCATTCAGGAAAGAATTGGCTGTTTGGAAGCAGAAAGGTAAAAGAATATAGAATGTTTAGATTGAAGGGTTAGAAAACCCGACTGCTTCAAACCGTCAAACAGTAAGACTAAAAAGAGCTTTGAGTGGAATATAACCAGTAAGATTTTTCAGTTGAACTCAGATCAACTCAGTCCAGTAAAGACGAAATGAAGGATATGGTCCTTCCACACATGTTTTCAAATTAACTCTCTGTAGCACCATTAAATTAGAGAAACAGAGAAAGAATCATGGAACTTAGAAAATGAAAAATATGACTTGAGAATTATGGTTGGGAAAGGATTTAGGGTATAATTGTTGGTACATAGAATCAAATGGAAGCAAATAGACCAAAAGTCTAAGTTTGTGAAGGAAGTGCATTTACAAGGAAATACAAGCCAGGACAAAAAACTCCTTTAGATTAGAAAACAACTTCTGGGATTCTAAGCCTGTACCAGCAAAAGATAGATTGTAAAAAAGTATGCTACTCTCAAGGAGGACATACTCCCTAATTCCCACTTCAAATGCAGTCAAGGGACATTATACACATGAAGGGCTGCAGAAAATAGTGGACAGGGGAGTTTCTCCCAGAAAGCAGAATCGACATCAAAACAAAAGTAGGTAACTGTTATAGGCATATTTCCACCTTTCATGCCATATTTCAAAAATTCTACTCTATTTAAACTTATTTGCATATGTCAGATTAAATATCATTTTCACTTCTGTGTTCCATATCCAGAAAATAAGAAAACTGGCCCAGATATGCCAAGTTCCCTGCTATCCTTTCAAATTTGATTGCTGTTCTCTTCATCTTCATTTAACTTCTCAAATTTCCCTTCTAATTTTACAAATTTTTTCTTTAATTGTTGGTTTTCCTTGATCACAGCATGATCTGTTATTTTAGAAGTAGACAGTGGGACTAGCTCTTTTTCCATATCCTGAACACTGTTTCTCAAAATGGCGAAGAAAGATTATCTGGCAATATTTTTATAGCTCTCTCCTTTAACTTTTAGCTCTTGGCAATGAACTCTTTAGAACTTTGCCTTGAGTAAGTGGGCAAAAGCTAAGAATGAGTATAATCACATTTAACAAGGCAACAAGTTCCCACCAAGCATTTTCTATCACATCCTAATGACGGCCTAACTTTTCTCAACAGGAATATCTGAAAAATAACATTGTTTCCTTTTCACAAACTCATTATTAAGCACCAGCACAGTCATGTAGACTCCCTTTATCCGATAACTCTCCTTCTAGGAAATTATTTTGAAAATGTAGTCGGTCTTCTCATTTCTCGTAAACTTTCTCTCCCATCCAAAGCCTTGCCTGCCACGATTCATTTTCCCTTTCCAGTCTTTTTCCCTTCCTCTTTTGAATACTTTAGCAAAGGCTTGAAGGCTAACTCTCTTTCAGGCATGGTGCTAGGCTTTAAAGATAATGATGAAGAGGACATGATTCCTGCTTTCCTGCCCACCTGGTTCCATGGTGATAGAGTCATGTAGGTTTCTGAGATGCCTGTAGCCTGGGGCTTCTGCTCACCCAAATAAGGAGGTCTAAAGGTACTTAGATATTAGAGATATTTAAGTGCTATACCTCTGGTCTCTTAGAAGTTGTCTGTGTACAGAGCAGGTTCTTCTTTCACTATTGGTATTTTCTGTAGAGATGTCTATTTTATCATACCATTTGTATAGAAAAGAACTAACTATCCAGGCACTATTCCTGTAAATGACATTCATTTTGGAGAAAACTCATAAACCTTTGCTCAAGGTATTACTCTCAAGATAGAGTTCCATAATTAGCAAAGAGGACAAACCACTGGAAATCCAGCTAGGAAAACAGAGTATAATCTGCTCATACACAGTACAGATAAACTTCACATTCATGAATGAGAAAAGGAAAGTTAAAATTTTGAATTTTGGTCTGCTAGAATATAAGACAAATTGTTAAAGAGTGATTATGTAAAGGACCACTGTGGAAATTACTGTTGTGAAGTCAAAAATCCTTTTGTAAAGTATAAAGTGACTAATTTTGTAAATGCACCTCCTCCAGTTATGCTTTGGAAATATAAGATTTTTGTGTGTGTCTGGTTTCTTTGGAGAAAGCATCACCTGCACTGGCATAGAAGTTTCAGTTTTAAGTGTGCCACTCCCAAAGGGTGGCATTAACATTCTGTCCTCAGTATTTAAATGGGCATTCACTTTCACAAGCCTTAGCATCATTCCCCCACAGATCACAGAGAGAAGCAGCCAGTGAAAAAAATCACTGATTGTGGAATCATCATCCATACTCAATCTCCTTTAGCCACAGAGACATTCCTGTGAGTACATAAATGAATGGGCTCCACAGGCAATAAAAATGAACAGTGTGAGAACTGAGCTGGTGGGAGATGTGGGCGGTAGCTTGGAATATGGGAACTGGGGAAAACATCAGCAGTTCATGTTGCACTATCTGCTTTCCTCATTTGTGTGTTTTCTGAGTCAGCATTAGCTATATTTTCCAGAAGCCATCCACAAAGTACAGCCTGAGTGTTCAAGGGACGTCACTCATTTCCCCCAGTGACCTTGACAAGTCAGAAGCTTGAAAGCAGGGAAATCCGGATGTGTCAGTTATGAAGTGGAACAGCGGGGCTGCAACATATTTCCAGAAGTCTCCATCCAGACTAGTGATTGCCTCTGTTACTGCCAGTGGCCATATGAGGTGTTTATCTGGGTCTGAAGAGGTTGGCACAATGGCCAAGTGCCTCAGCCTGGTGCCTCTTCTTGCCTCCATCTGGACCACAAGGCTTCTGGTCCAAGGCACTCTCCATGTAGAAGGTAGGTTTTTATTTCTAATCTGAGGCAAGGCAAGGTCTTGCAAATTGTCCTAAGCCTACTAAGTTACTGACTGTGAATAGCTGGGAGTGGGGGAGACCCTCAGTATCAACAAAAGATCTGATTAATAGTATTGCTTTGTAGGAAATATTTTCACCATATTGTCAATTTCATCAAGATGATTCACATTTACCTTTATGTTATCTTGCCTTTTATTTTTGGCTCTGGAATCATTTTAATGAGAATACTTTGAAACAAAACATAGAGGAGAGATTGTTTTTAAAAGTGTTTCTTTGAAGAAGCAAACTATGATTGTGATGAATTTTAAGCCATCACTAAGCCTGGAAAAAATGGTCAACTTTCACTGAATATTAGCCTGTTTTATATTTTTGTGTCAGTATAATTATTTAATTTCAATTTTACTATTCTAGCATGGAATGCACATGCTTTTAACATGCTGTAAATAGCTAACTGGGAAAAAAATGTAAAAATAATAGGTTTGTAAGTTAGTCATCAGTTCCCTACCAAAGGAATGACTTGAAGACATTTCTGGGCTTTTGAGATGCCTAAATGGTAACCTCATTCTGTACTGTAGGCAAAAAATTATAACCACAAATCACTCATATTATAGCTCCAGGAAAATGAAAATTTGAGCACTTTATATGGAATATTATGTGTTCCTATGCTGGAATATGCCCTGAGATATATGTTAGAAACAGATATCCCAAGCTGATTTATGTATTGTTGTATTAAATTTTATAATTGAAATTAGAGTTACATGATTGATTTTTTTTTCAGTACCAGACTGTTACTTTCAAATAAGTTTGATCCTCTCTCAAATCCCCCTGGGGAATTTCACTTTTCCCCACAATGCTATCATTACTCAAACTGTTTTAGAAATTTTTCTTTGACAATGATACCATCACACTCTTTGGACTATCTTTGAAAATGGCAAAATTTTCCTAAGGAAATTAAATTTTTAGAAACAGTTGAAAGTTATACACAACCATGACCAGGGAACAAGTGGCCAATGAAGATAAAGAGAATAAGGATGGGAACTGGTATTTTTGAGGGCCTATTATGTACAGATACATAGTTAATTAATTATATATATATATATATACACACACACACACACACACACACACACACACACACACACACACATATATATATATATAATTTCATCTTCTCAAGAAGACTTTTTACAGTTGAAGGTACAGACTCAGTGAGGCCAAGTGCCTTGCCTGATGTCATATAGGCAGCAAATAATAAAGCTCAGTTTTGATTTCAGCTTTGTCTAATTCCTAAGTATATGCCATTTCTAATGTGCCTGCTAGTCCCTGAAAAGTCTTAAGTAAGGAATTATTAATGTAACCTTTGGATTCCAGCTCCCTAATTTTTGCCCTTAAATAAAATAGGAAAGCATAAAAGTATTTGTTGACTAACTACTATGAACCTAGCCTCTGCTAGGTACAAATATCTAATTTAATTCTTACAAAAATTTTCTGAGGAAGATACAACCATCCCCATTTTATGGATAAGAACACTAACTTGTCCACTGTCCTGGTCTATCATTACTCTAAATAATAATATCTAGAGTAAAAATGAGGTATGATGAGAGAGTAGCAAGAACACTTTACGGTGTAATTAGCAAACCTGTTCTGCAGATATTCCCAAAGATGCAGCCATAAGAGGTTTGGGCAACAGCAAGCTCATGGGCTAAATGAGACAAATTCCAGGATAAATGTTGGGTTTAGAGAATTCGGCTCTAGTTGTGTGTGCATGTGTTCAGCTTCTCATGGTAGAGTGGGAAGCGGAATAGTGCCCCAACTAAGAACTGGGGTTTTAGAGTCAGTCATAATTGGGTTTGTGCCTGCTATCTGTCTCCTAGTTGCTTGGGCTTAGGGAAATTTTCTTAAGGGAAAATTACTTAATTTCCCTGAGATTCAATTTTCTATTAAAAGAGACAGGGTTTGACACACAGTAGCAATGACAGATGATAGATGCTAGAATTAAATTAGTATTAGAATCAATACCAGTATTGTATAGGTATTAGTGCATATAACCATAAGAGGCTGTTTTGTCACAAACAGTTACATTGGGGTGTTGGCTGTCTGGTCTTTTCTTTTGGTGAGAGAAGGGTCAGGAAGCTAACAAGGCCATCCACAAATGTTGTACATCATATACACATCCTTGCCCCCAGCCCTCTGCTCCAGAGCATAGCAAGGTAACATGGAGGACTTAGAAACATTCATTTCATGTTTGCAAGAAAAAATTTCCTTTAAATGCCAACCTAGAAAGGTCAAATCATTTGATGGGACATCTAATGCACAGATCTGGGTACAGGCAACTACCTGTGAGATTAGAAATGCCCTATTTTGGACTTTTGTGGATGAAGCAGTAGGACTAATGTAACTGAAGGCAATGCAATTTCATACAGGTCTATAAATCCCAGAATCCATAAAAGAGATCAAAAGAACTCTCAGATTCATTAGATTTTGAGTAAAACATTACTCATCATAACTGCTCAACTGCCTTGGTTTCCTCAGGGAGATCGGTTATTAGCAGACTAAAACCAAAATGCTTTGAAGATAATGTAATGTTAATTTATGATTTATTGAACACCTACATTGTGGCAGACACTAGGCTAAGCATTTTTATTTGAATTAACTCATTTAACTCTTACTACCCTGTACAATAGATATTGTTACTCTCTCAAATTTATAAATAAGGAAACTGAGAATCAAAGAGATGAAGTAAAGAGCCTAAATCACAGAGCTAGACAAAGATATAGGTTAGATTCAAATTCAGGTCTGACTCTAAAATTATTTTCTTTATTTTAGTTTTTCAGCTGTGCAAGGTTTACTGCCAGGCTCCTCCAGGAACTTCTGAGTAAGCCTGCCCCCAATGGTCAGAGAAGACCTAGACTTGAGAAAGTTCACATTCTGTTAATCCAAGAGCAACATTTTTCAGCCCTTCTCGGAAATAATGGTGTCCCCAACCCATGCTGTTTGAAATATCATTAACAATTCTATTAATCAGAGTCCTGAATTCTGTCTTTCTCAAAGTCTCAGACCCTTCATTTTATAGACTCTGAAAAGGTTTGCAGGAACTGCCTCACCTAGGCCCCACCCCAGGAACTGATAGCCAAAGTCTCCATGGAATGAACAAGGCACCTTAATGCAGTGGGTATGATGGATTCAGATCTGATGAGAGGTGCAGCTTGGATCAGAACAAGCACCTACCTAGCTAAGCAGATGTCTTTGTGGGAAATGCCTGGACTGTGTCCTTTTACTTCTAAACTTCAATTCCAGCCACAAAGACCTCACAGTCATGTCAACCCAATAATGCTTGGCTAGGAAGAAGAACCTAAGGGCTAGAAACAAGGAAAGCAGAAAACTGAGGGCCTTTGTGATTTCTTTGCAGAGCTTTCAATCTCAGGGCCATGCAGAATTATGGGGGTCACACTTGTGAGCAAAAAGACAACCCTGCAGCTGAATTTCACAGAAGCTGATGAGGCCTGTAGGCTGCTGCAACTAACTTTGGCCAGCAAAAACCAGGTTGAAGAAGCATGGAGGTTTGGCTTTGAGACTTGCAGGTGAGAACCAGCTGGATTCACAGACAATGCTGGAGCTCTTTTGGCTTTCTGTTCTTTGTCAGCAATAGAGATAAATGTGTCAGTTAAACCAATGTGTATTCTGTTACAGCTATGGATGGGTTGAAGATAAATTCTTGGTCATTCCTCGGATTCTCCCGAACCCCAAGTGTGGGAAGAATGGGATGGGTGTCTTGACTTGGAGAAATTCCCTCAGTTTAAAGTTCAGGGCCTATTGCTACAACTCATCTGGTGAGTCATCTGCAGCCTCTCCACATTTTCTCTGGGTTTCTCTAGTTCTATGACCTATCTGAGAAGAGTAACTGAGCAGCAGCAGAAGCAATCAATGGTGATGGTCATTTAATACTGCTAAGATGGCCTCTGTGACCAGGGAGAGTACCGTTCAGAGGAAAAAGTTAGGGAAAATATGACTGAATGGCAACACAGGGAGAGAGCATTCCCAGGAGGCTCCCTTACTTGCACCCTTTCCTCTATAATATAAACAGGAGGAAGGGAAGGGAACATACCCTACAGACAAAGAAATGTACTGAGTTACCTCACTGAACTCAACAATCTCTCTATGAAGCATGCCTTTCCACCCCCATTTTGCATATGAGAATAATTAGCTCAGAGGATGTAAATACATTTGTCTAAGGTCTTACTATTATAAAGATTCAAACTCAAGTCCAACTCTAAAACCATGCTTTTTGCATTATCCTACATTCCTATATAAGAGAGAAAATTCAGATGCTACATTTGATATTTTAAAGAACAAGATCTAATCTCCAATTTATAAAGGAAGGAGTTGAAGCTAGAAAGTAGAACTGATTTGCTCATGGTCACATAGTTGTCCTTTTAACTTTGCTTGGAGACCTTGAACACTTTAGCCCTAATTCTTTACCTGAGTAACTTCTGTTTTTCTTTTACTAAACACTTGTTCTCAGTTTATCGTAAGAACCTCTGTCTCATTTATTACTCTTCACACATACTCATGAATCTGACCTTCTAAAACTCAGATGACTGAGTAGTAATACACAAAGTTGGATTCCAAAGTTATTGTCTAACATCCAAGAGAAAAGTGTGCACCAGCAACAATATGTTGCCCAAAGTCATCATAGGGTCCAAACAGTTCTCTGAAGCAGGGCGCTTCAGCCTAGAATGGATACTGAAAGATACTTTGTCCACTTCCCTCACTTTATGAATTAAAACAACTATATAGCTCAGAATGGAGGTTTGGCTTGTTCAGTCTTATAGTCAGTTAGTGGAAGAGTCAAGATTGGAACATAGAGCTTATTCCAGTTATTTTTTTCACCATTCTCCTTCTCTCCTCTGCCTCTTCTGCCTATCACTTTTGGCTGAGCAGTTGGTGGTTCACATGCCTGCTTATCTCATTGCCAGCCCAGACTGTCAAATGGCCTGACCTTCTAACTGTCTGGTCTTCCTACCAGCTGTCAGTGTGATGATTTGATACCCAGCCCTCTGAACTAAACAAAAGGAGTCAGGGGAAGAAGACTTGGATTTGCATGTTTCCTTATGGTTTCATTTAACTTGTACTTCCATCCCCTGTAATTCCTGTATACTTAGTTAGGTTTAGAGACTTCTTTAAATCATATCCACTATTTTTGGCAAAAATACTTCATAGATGATATTGTATACTTCAGATTACATCTCTATAAAAGGAATTTTAATGTCAGTATGTCCCACTACGAATATGCTAACTTTGTTTGAATAAGATGGTGACTGTCAGATCACTCTGACGAACTTATAAAGATATGTTCCCCCTTTGCAATGAGTAGTAATCTACAGTGTGATATTTTGGCACCATGCAAATATTCTGACCCCCAACCATATTTTACCTAATAGCTTAATCAGCCACTGATGATCCTTGCTGGAATCAGTTATTATATGCAGGGCTGCAAACTGGTAATTTTCTATTCTTCTTACTACATTTATTAGCTGGCATTCTTTGATAAAGAAGAATCCTTCTCTTTCTCTCCCCGTCTCTTTCTTTCCCTCTGTCTCTTTCTCTCCCTCCTTCCCTCCCTCCCTCTCTCTCTCTCTCTTTCTCACACACACACACACACACACGCACACACATGCACATCTCCTCCTTCCCCAGTGGACACATGGCATTTTACTTATTCTGTGTGTGTAATGTGTTAAAAATAAATCACACAATTATTATTCTTTTATTCTTCTTGATGCTCAAATTTCCTAAATTTGGCTAGTGGGAACCCCTTCTAGTTAATTTTCATGTCATTTATCCCATTAGTACTTGAGCAATTCCTTGCTTTCCAGCATAATAACCTGTCCCAGGCTCTCTTTGTACTTTCTCTGTACCACATGTCAATCAGCCACTTATTGCTCCAAGAGACCCTGGTTCTTTTTAATGGAGAATGTTAGTAGAAACCAAGATCTGGATGCACATTATTCTCATTACTGCTGGAATTTTCACTGCCTCTCAGTCCTTTTTAGTGGATAGCTAGGAAATTTTATATCTATATATAAAATGTATGTATAGATATACATTTATATATATACATTTTATATTATATCATATGCCAACATACATATTTAAAAATTATGAATCTGTATTTATATTTCCAACTCAACTTTAACAATTCTAATTTTTTCTTAGTTTACATTACTATTTGAGAATATGATGTAAACTACGAAGCTTTTGCACATTAAAGTGAGCATATATGAGAACTTTTGTATATCATTTGGGAGGTTTGTGGGCCCCAGTTGAAAATTCCCTCACCTACAGAATAAATTCCAAATTCTTTAACACAGTTTTACTTGTAGGTTTTTTGTATATATGGAAAACCTTAATTCCCAATAAATAATATTAGTATATTTTCTTATCCTACAATAGTTTCAAAATTATAAAACCAACATTATTAGAAATAATAAACCAACTGAGTAGAAATGGAGATTCTTTGCATTTCCTTTAGTCCTAAGAAGATATCCCCCTAAAAATGTACTGCCAGAGAATTGTGTGCTAAAGTGATTGAAAAAAATTGCTACTTTGTGTGGTTATATTATAATTTTGAAATAAATTAGGTTCACCTGCTTCTGTTTGCCTTTGTGAGGATCAGTTACCCTAACCCTTACCCTAATGTTAATCCTAAATTTACCATTTCTTTGTTTTTGTAACTTTCTTTTTTAATTGCTATCTTATGAGGTCTGAGGTTCAGAGTGACCTTATACTTGACCCTAAATCTTATCCTATCTTACTTATTGATATCTTTGTGAGCTTTGGGGATCAAACTAAAATGTTTTTAATGCTCTGCACACACCATCTATTTCCATGCTGTTTCCCTCTGCCACAATGCCCATTCTCTTTGCCATCTGGCTAACTTATAGTAAAGGAGTTTTCAAAATTCAAAGGCCAATCTTCTCTAGGAAGCCTTCCCATACACCTTATTCTCTCTTTCCTCTTGGACTCCAACCACATTCTGTGTTTAATATCTGTAAGAGCACTTGGTACATTCAGGGAAATGACATTTCTAGTTTGGAGAGTAAGGAGATACCATGTCCTAACTCTTCCAGGTGTACTTTTGACCAGTTAGGGTTCATGGTACCAGGTAGCTGTTGCTCTCTCACACTATGGCCCTCTCAGCTTCACTTAATGAACAGAGAGGCAAAGGAAACTGATTGTTACAGGTCTTACCTATTATGTCCATACACTATTCTAGGCCCTACACATTTACTTTCTCATTAATCTTGACTAAAATGACACAAGCACTGTTTCTGCTTTCCAAGAGAAGTAACTGGTGCTTAGAGTGTAACTTGCTGTGGTCACAATCAATAACATACAAGGATCTCAGTGGGTCCTGGGCATCAATATTTTTTGATGATTCTGACCTGTAGCCAGGGTTGAAAATCACTTTTCCTTAGAAGATCTCTAAGATCTACGTTTTAGGATTCTAGATACTTCTGGATTGCCCTATTTCCATGCAATTTTAATAAATAATCTCCTTCTTTATTCCTGGATTGTGCTCTCTCTTCTGTGAATTTCAATCTCCACACAGCTCCATTGCTAATTGCATTACTCCTTTCCACAGCCCTTGGGTGACTTTCTATTTGAGAATATGATGTCAACTATGAAGCTTTTACACATTAAAGTGGGCATATGTGAGAATTTTGTATATCATTTGGGAGGTTTGTGGGCCCCAGTTGAAAATTCCCTCACCTACAGAATAAATTCCAAATTCTTTAACACAGTATTTATGAATCTCAATACTCTGGCTTTAGCCTGTCTCTCCAGTCTCATCTCCTACTTGCAGTTTTTCACCAATCATATACCACCCTGATCTCCAGCTACTCTGTACTCTCTGTCATTTTTCTAGCATAACTATGCTTTCAAACTTCTGGATTCATGGATCACTGTATTCCTATTGACTGGGATATTCTATTCCCTCTTCCATGCTAGATAAAATGCTGCTCTATTCCTTCCATACTGGCCTTTTGTTTATCAGACATGTTGAATTCATTTAACTTTGGGCTTTTGAACTTCCTGTTCTCTTTACTTGAGATGCTTTTGCCCTAGATCTTCAATGACTGGCTACTTTTCATCATTCAGGTTTCATCTTAAGTATCACCTTCCCAAAGAGACTTTCTCTTATTACCCTATCCAAAGTATGTCTCCCATTCCCTGCCCCTACCAGTTTAATCCTTATCCTGTTTAATTTTCTTCTAAACATTTATCATCCTCTGAAATTTCTGGTTTATTGGTTTTTTGTTTGTTTCATTTTTATTTTGTTTTTACCTCTATCCTTCCAATGGTATATAAGCCCTTTACAGGCAGAGGCTTTGTTTTATTTGTACCATGTGCCTAGCAACTAGAACAGTGCCTGGCACAGAGTTGGAGCTCAGATATATTTGAATGAACACATTAATCCTCTATACCCTGCCCAAATGCCATCTCCTCTGTGAATCCCCAATGATATCTCCCTACCCCTATCAAAATACTTCTGTCCTCCTGGAAACAGGAACCATGCTTTGTCTCTGTGCTTTTGTTTCCCAATGTGGTATAATGTGGTCAGTCTGTCTTTAATCCTGATATTCAAAAATGTTCATGTTTTGGAAGGAAGAACTTAGCATGTGTTCAAGAATGTAAAATGCAACTAAAAGTTCAGGGCAGAGGTCAACAATGATGTCTATTTGAACAGAGGTCTTTTCAAAGTAAAATGAATAGTATAAAATTCTGAAAGTGTGCAGTCAAAATATTTTATCAGTAGTATCCGTGACTTTGATTGGTAATATGTTTAATTTTTCAGAAATGAATGGAATTAATTTTTATTCATAGCTAACATTCCAACTGATGTTACCCACGGCCAGAAATAACTAGGTATTTAATATAGATGCAAGTCATATTATAGTATATTGCCTTCCTCTACCATTCACTAGCTATGTGACTTTGGGCAAGTTATTCAACTTCTCTGAACTTCTGTTTCCTCCTGTATAAATGAGAGTTTGATAAACTTGTTAAATGATGTGCCATGGTTGATCAGAAAAGATGCCCCCAAAATATTAGAATTCTCTCTACCACATACAACAGATTGGAAAGCAATCCTACATCCCTCCCCTGTCCCCCTTCCTTAAAATTTTTTTGATGAACACAGAGGTATCTGGTTTAAGTGGATCTTTGTCCTAAAGTGATGTCATGTGTGTATATTTGGTCTCCCCATCTACTCCTTCCTTCCCTTAACTTTTCCTTTCTTCCTTAACTCAAATATTTATCAAGCATGTACTGTGTGCCAAGTTCAGTGCATGTACTATGATGACCAAGACAGACAGGACTCCTGCTTCCATGGAGGTCACAGTCCAATGAAGAGCAGTGTAAGGAGAACTACAATAAGGAAAGTATAAGGTACAAGAACATATGCCTAGGGACCCAATCTAGCCATTAAGTCTGCCTAATAAAGAAACGTTCAGCCTGAGACACAATGGATAAGTAAGGGTTAGCTAAATAAAGAAGAGGCAAAGAGTCTTACAGGTGAAAAGCTTAGATGTGAGAGAAAACATATCAAATATGAAGGAATTCCAGTATGGCAGGAGGAATGAGAGACAAACTGACCAAATAATGCTGGTCGTGTCAGCAGGGGACAGATCATGGAGGGTCTTAAAAACCGTGCAGTAGAGGCAGTCACTGAAGGCTTCTAAGGAAGGAAATGATGTGATTAGATCTGCATTTTTATAAGACCATTCCTGCCACAGTATAGGCAGATTGGAGGGATGTAAGACCAGAGGCAGGAAGACCAGTTAGGAAGCTGTTGTGATGCTTATTTGTTATTTTATTTTTCCTCTCTTGACAGATGCTTGGATTAACTCATGCTTTCCAGAAATTATCACCAAAGATCCAATATTCAACAGTCAGACCACAATATACACAACTGAAATGGTTGTCAGTGACAGTATATACTCAGCATCACCTCCTGATGCACCTTCCTCTAGCGCACCTACTCTCACTTCTGCCCCTGCTCCAGCCTCCACTTCTACTTCAAGGAAAAGAAAGTTAATTTGTGTAACAGAAGCTTTTATGGAAACTAGCACCATATCTATAGAAACTGAATCATATACTGAAAATAAAGCAGCATTCAAGAATGAAGATGTTGGGTTTGGAGGTAAATAATGCTGGCCATGTCAGCACTTTCTGTGTCTGCAGCATGTGTGTGTGTATGACAGACAATATATAGAAACTAACCTCTCTTCAGAATGAGTAAAGTCTCTGCCAAACATAAGTAAAACTTAATGGAAACTCAACTTCATAAAGTCATAGAATTTGAGGGCTCTAAATTCCTTCCTTCCTTCTCCTGAGCATGGAAGCTCTAAAAAACCTTAATGATTAAAGTAACAATCACAAGTATAAAATGGCTTCATTTTTAAAACTCAGACTTTCAAAATAAGTTACTATCGTTTTTTACTATTCAGAGGTTCTTTTAGAAATATATAACTTCAATGCCTATGATTAGAAAGTTTGTTTTCTTATTTAAAAGGAAGGGTCCTATACTTAATTAGCTCTAAACTTACCATCTTAGGGCCACAGAGAAGAAACTGACTCTGTCTGTCATATTGCAACTTATAGAATAAAGAGAGCATGGGAGGCAAGACCAAGGATTCTGAAGGCTTTCTGCAAGCAAAGCAGCAGCTGTGGGCCCCGCAATCTCAGTGGCCCCTATGTGGTCACAGAGAAGGCTTTGCTCCTGCACTATCTGTTGTCTTGATCACATGTAAAGATGAATCATTAGAGGAGTAGTGCACAGCAATGTATACGTGAACGGCCAACAGGCCATGTCTCTGTTCCCTCAGGTGTTCCCACGGCTCTGCTAGTACTCGCACTCCTCTTCTTTGCTGCTGCAGCTGGTCTTGCAATTTGCTATGTCAAAAGGTAGGGTTGTTAGCACATCGTAAGTCTTATAATCTTTCTCCATTCCTTTCTTGTGGTTTTCCAGGGTTGTTATTAGCATTTTCTTGGCCAAAATGGAAATGGCAGTCCTCTTACACTGTTGATTTTCTCCCTTCTCTCACCTCTCCTCCCTGTCACCCAATCTTTCCTACTATTTCAGTGCACATTCCCTTGAAAATCAAGAAATAAAAAGAAAAGATTGATGTAGGTGGAAAGTATATGCTTTATTTGATTTTTTTTCCCTTTTGGTGGAAAGGTTGTGAGGTCAGCCTAAAGTTTGACCTGTGAATTTACTGTTCCACCTAAATGAATCCATTAAGGTGGGGATGTATTAATGTATTTAAGCATGCATATATTGGCATCTTTCTGAAATAAAGGCACCCAAGTGTACTGTGCCAATAGGGACCATCACAGAAAAGCATTATCTATTGTTATATATGTTACATAGAAGTCTCTCACTTTATTTTATGTTTATGCCTACAGGTATGTGAAGGCCTTCCCTTTTACAAACAAGAATCAACAGAAGGAAATGATTGAAACCAAAGTAGTGAAGGAAGAGAAGGCTGATGATAGCAACCCTAATGAGGAATCAAAGAAAACTGATAAAAAGCCAGAAGAGCCCAAGAGCCTACCCAAAACTACAGTGAGATGCCTGGAAGCTGAAGTTTAGATGAGAAAAAAAAATAAGAGGACACACCTGAGGCTGATTTCTTTCCTAATGCATATCCCAGCCCCAGATGGGGAAACTTAAAAGGACCAAAGAACCAAAGAAGAAAGTCCACCCTTGATTTTTAAATAGAAATCAGCTCATGGCTAGCTTTGGATAATGAAGCTCGCCAAAGGGAATTCCCTTCTTCCTGCAGTCCTTTCTGGATCCTATCCTCCTACCTCTGAAGCTTCTCATGGTCTTCCTAGCCTAGCTATGTCCTAATAATATTTTAAAGGGAGAAAGGAGGTTTGCAAAGCATAAAGACCTGAGACAGCTAATCAGAACACATTTGTAAAGGGGCTTCTAGGGTGTCTGAGAATAGGTGAATTGAGAGCCAAGAAACCATCAGACCAAGGCTTTCTCTATTGACTCCACAGCCCAGATCCTTTCTTCAGCTCTGAAAGGGAAACACTTACACCACCTGGCATTGGCTTCTGAGCCAGGCAAGAGCAAAAGAAGGAAGGTAATGTTTAGCAATTGAAGACCATGGAAATTTCTCATGACTTGAGACTGACCTCTATAAAACCAAAATAGATTTGGGAAAAAAGAATGAGGCTGAGGATCCTGACTGCATATTGTCAGCAGGGACTATAAATACAGACAGGGGTCCAAAGTATTCATCTCTGAATAATTTGAGTTGGGATCACTTTTAAGAGCATACATTTTTTTCTTTCTCTCTCCTGCTGCAGCTATTTTTCTCATAGAACATACTTTTCCAAAAAACAAAAAATTTTTACAAATTTCTATTTTTGTCTGAGTTACAAAGTTATTACTAAGGAAATTACTGTGCTAAAAGGCAGAAAAGTTGAACAAATATTTGCTGAAAACCTGCTGTATGTCAGATGCTGTGTAAGGTATTACATTCTGTAATTAAACATTATTTATCAAAAACTTACATATAGTAGAATATTGTATGAAGCTAATTTTTTTTCAATTTTGATATCCCTGGCTTATCCACATCCAAAGCTATTTTTTTTCTGCTGAGACTAACATTTCATTATTTTCTCTAATATGGCAACCATTATAATCTTAATTTATTCTTAACATACCTTAAAAGTACATCATTCTCTATACCCAAAGTATTTTCTAAATGTCATTATCAAATGCATTAGTAGCTCTCCTTTTCCCAGCAAGCACAGCCTGAAAGGTACAGAGATACTTGTGCGAAAAAAATAAAAGCATTTAGAAAATTTCTTTGTTCTTTTTTTTTATATACAGGCATTATACCTTTCTACAAAACTGAAGTAATCTGTTTTTTGCAAAAGTAAGAGAGACAATTCTGGTTGTTGAAATACAAACATTTGTAAATCCAGTAGTATATACTTCACCATGTGGGGCTGTTCTTGCTTCAGACGGTCTTATTTTAAATTGGTCAAGTACACACATATAAAAGAATCCTTTATTTGGAATTCAAGTCCTATATTTTAATCTGGTGCAGAGTTCACAGGGAGCTGGAGAATCAGTATAGTTCATTTATCCTGTTTCCCTATCTCTCTATCATTGTCCCTTTAGATGGCTAATAATCTTCTTCCCTACACCAGTGACCCCACAGCTCCATGATGTTCATCTCAGAGCCCATACCCTGTTGGCATCATCTTTTTTGGTTGGCCCACAAAGTGTTATCTTAAAATTTGGTTTAATTGCCAAGAATTAAAAATCAAGAAATTTCACTTTATATTTCTGGGGTTCCTTGAAAAGTGGGAAGATCTGGAGAAAGAGAACTCATGCCATCCCTCATAGAAATAACTATTTGGTACTGAGTGGTGGATATCCTCTTTAAATGAGCTATGTTCTCTCCACTTCACCACACTCCTCACCACTCTCTATCTTTATGCCTAAGTAAGGATGCTGTTTCCTATGGATCTTGTAATACTATTTGGCTCTTTGTTTCACAGCCAGTCCAATTCATTCATTTACAACCTCCCTGGCCCTGAGGTCTGTGAGTTTGAAACTCTGATTTGTCAGACTTTAAGCTTTCTCAGCCTCATGTAGTCCTCAGGAGTGGAGATGCAAAAGGGCAGAAAGAACCTAAGTAGTGGTCTTCCTTCTGTGTATGTTAGCCGAAAAAAGTCTGATCTTCCACACTAGATCTCCCATCTTGTAAACATCTATATAGCAGGGTACTATCATCTTCTGTTAATTTAGATACATATATGTCATGCTCAGGAGAAGGAAGGGAGGAGAAAACCCCACCCATCCCCATCCACAGTCACCAGCTAGCCCAGATGTCCACTGTAAACATACTGATAAAAATATGTAGCTTCCATCATTATGGAATAAAGGAAAAAAGAAAGGATGGAAGGAAGAAAGGAAACTAACACTTACTGAGTACCTACTAAGTGAGTCATTTTCATCTGTTGTGCTATTTTAATTGCCACCTTTTCCCTGGGAAGAATTATTACTTTAATTTTTTTATTAGTTAGAAAATTGTAGTTTTAGAGGAATTCAAGTCACTTTTCTGAGGTCACAGGTCTAGTTAAGTGGTAAAGATTGTACTCAGTCCCAGGTCAGAATGACTCCAGAGCCCATATTCCTTTCCCTACACCACTGTGCTTGCAAGTGATGATATAGGGATATAAACTATTGTAATATGAAAGCTTGAAACTGGTCACTTGCCAAAAACAACAGTAGTCAAATAAGAAAAACAATTTAGGATTCTTCTCACAACTTCAGAGAATCTTTCTTAAATCCATTTGCAGTAACATGGGAAAAAGAGAACAATTAAAGAACTTTGATAACCACACCCTCATGGATACAGACACCAACCTCAGCAAAGACTTACCTGATCCAGCTTGTATGGTCAGAGAATATAAGGTACTGAAGGATCTAAGATAAGCTCCTATAAACTCTTCACAGTTTTAAAAAGATGAATCCCAATGTCACAGGTAGCTAGAAGTAGAGCTTGGCGTAGAAGTTTACTTTTTCCTAGTCAAATTCTCTTTATTCTTCATTGAACAAAGAGAAACTGGAAAAATATGAGAGACTACTTCAGTTCAGACCTACAATCCAGCCTATCAAAACCAGTCTTCAAACAAGAAGGTAGACAGCCATATGATTATATACCCAGGTAGTACAAAAATCACCTGCTCAAAAATGCCTCTTCTTCATGCCTGCCTCTCTGATTCAAACAGTATAGATCCATTCTTTTGGGCAAAGGTTCTCTGTCTTGAGAAGGAGTCCCCTGTAAAACTGCATACTTTTTATAAAAGCCAGGCCAACTATCAAATATTAACATGTTACTGTGTGTCCAATAAAGACGCACTGATTTCTGCGAGTAGAAAGCTAGAATAAAGCAGATGCCTTGAGACTCAGCACATGCTTCTACATAGTTGGAGTCTATAAATGTCCATTGGCTTAAGCAGAATTGAATCATACTGATTTCCAGACCAAAGAATCCTACATTTTATTGCCTTTTTCTAGACCTTTAGCTAGTGTCCAAAGCAAAACCAATTGCTCTAGGAAAGAATGGGTTTCTAAGGACAATAATAATAACATACAAGAACATAAATTCTTACTAAGGATTAAAGAGTCACTCACACACACAAAAAGAGAAGGTTTAAGTGTCCAAACAGGAAGAAAAGGAATTATTTGTCAGTTCAATCTCCTAGTTACATGTAAGTAAAATTTAGTTGCTTACCCTTTAATAGTCTACATATAAGGTCTGGTTTGACATAAAATCATTTTAATAATACTAAAATCAGCTGGGAGCACTCTCCTCTATTTATGTTCCTCAGGAAATGCCCAAATTTCTAAACAATGCTGATGTGATTTAGCGTGTTCCCCTTTAGCATCTAGAAGGCCATTTACTTTTAGGAAATAAACTTATTTTAGAATACTTTTAAATTTATCAAAAAAAGTGAAAATAGTAAGAGTTCCATAAACCCCACACCTAGTTACCCCTATTATTAACATCTTGCATTTTGTGGTACCTTTGTCAAAGTTAATGAGCCAAAGTCGATACATTATTATTAAGTAAAATCCATACTTGATTATGATTTCCTTAGTTTTTACCTAATATCTTTTCTTCTGTTCCAGAATGCCATCCAAGATACCACATTACATTTCATTTTCATGTCTCCGTAGGCTTCTCTTGGCTGTGGCAGTTTCTCAGATGTTCCTAGTTCTTTATAACCTTGTCAGGTTTAAGGAGTACTGATCAAGTATTGTGCAGAATGTTCTTCAGTTGGGAGTTATCTGAAGTTTGCTTGTCATTACACTGGAGGAAGAGAGGAAGACCACAGAGGTAAAGTGCCATTTTCATCACATCCTATCAAGGGTACATACTATTAACATGACCTATCACTTTTGATATTAACCTTGAGCACCTGGCTGAAGTATTGTTTGTCAAGTTTCTCCGATGTAAAGTTACTCTTTTCCCCTCTTCCCATACTACAGTCTTGGAGAAAAGTAACTATGCACAGCCCATACTTAAATAGAGGGCAGTCATGCTCTGTCTCCTTGAAGGCAGAATCTCTACATAATTCATTTGGAATTCTCCTGCACAAGAGGAGAGTCATCTATTCTCCCTCATTAATTTATTCAGTCATTTATTTACATCAATATGGAAGGATGAATATTTACTTTCTATGTTAGGTTATAATCCAGTATAATCCAGTTTGTTCAAATTGTTGCAGCTTTGACCATTGGGAACTCTTTCAGTTTGCTCCTATGTCCCTTTGACCTACCACACCATCACTGTGTTTTTATTGAGCATTTCCTTACTTTCTGGCACTATACAATGATCCAGTCTAATTTTATATATTTCCTAAAATAAGCCATTTCTCCAGGGAGTCCTGACTTTCCCCCAACCTTTTTTTTTTTGAGAATGTTATTAGAAATCAAGATCTAGTAGCTCATTGCTACTAGGATGTAATTGCTTCTAGGCCTGCTTCCAGAAACCCAGGCAACAGCAGTCCCAATATTTTCCACTTTCATAGATCAATGGTTCCTTTTAAATTTGGGGACCAAAATAGTGTTTCCAACTTTTTATTTTTCAGACAAAGATATCTAAAAATTATACTACAACCTAATACCACTATCATTTTATAAAAGATAGCAAAGAAAGATATAAAATCAGAATAAAGTTGCTAACTTAGTCTAGTTTCATGAAAAACTCACTACACAGACCTTCTTTTTGTTATTTTATAATGAACCAGTGATGACTTACTCATTGTTAAGTACCAGTCAAAGAATTGGCCTTTGCCAACCAATTAAAGGAAATACATCAATATGGAATGATGGAAATAATTTTCTGAGCCATAATTAGGATAATCTTTCAGGATAATGTGAACATGCTGAAAGCAAGCAAACAAGTCCTATGATTGGCATCTAACTCCTTTACCCTTCTGATTCTCTCTCCTTCTACATTCTTCCCCTCTGCCCAGGTCCTGCCCTCTACACATACATACAATTACCATCAAGCAAAGAAAGACAGTATCTGGTAAAAGAGAGAATTTACAACACACAGTACTTTGAACCTAACCATACTAAGTGCTATAATTTAGGCAATGAGTATGGAAACTTAGAGGAGGAACTATTTCTGACTTATTCTACCTGTAAAGACTTCATGAAGGTCGTGATATTTAAGGTAGGCTTTTAAGGATCCATAAAATTTTTGACAGGAAAAGATGAGAATGAAAAACCTGAAATTTTTGATCTCGCAAAGTTACAGATACGTGAAAGCACGGGTAATGTTCCCTAGCTAGCCGGTTGTACATCATGGCTATAGCCAAAGGTGTCATGGCAGTAGGGAAGAGAGGAAAAACTGAGCCCAGGGAGGTAAGCAAGTGAGACTCTTTGGTGTGTTCACTCCTAGACTAAACATTTGCTCTGATTGGCACAAGAAAACATCACAACATTATGATCAATGGAGGGATGTAATAAGGTTTGGATATTCTGAAATGAGTCTAAAAATATGGACTAAAGAAATTGTTAAACCAAATCTAGCTGGTCATCAGACCTATCTAAGGAGATTTGTAAATGCTCAAAATCATGAACCCTTATTCAAGCCCAATACATTCAGAATATTTTTCATGTTTAGAACCTAGAGATCTTACTGAAGCAAACAAACAAAATAAAAAACTTTCAAGAGAATCTGATCCAGATGATCCCAGGATCAGTGAATAGGAATCACTGAACTAGAGAGAAAAGGTACTAGAGACAGTAAGACAAAGTAGCAGTGTGAAATGATAAG